CATGTGCTCTATCTGGAAAAGCTTTTATAAGGGACTTGGATGGATCCTTGGGGATGGTCTGACCATTAAATTCTAGAAGGATAAGTAGATTCCCTCTCAGTAGCTTCTTAAACATTTTTTTGAAAATGCTATTTCTAATCATGATTTGGGAGAGTCTTTGGTTGTCTTTGCCCAAAATGGACAGTTGGGACTGGGCTAGGTTCAAATCTTTGCTTCCTGACCACATAATTGAGTCTATTACTCAAATTAATTCCCATGTCCTTATAGGGAGATATGACCTCTTTTATTGAAATCTTACTAGTAATGGCATATTCTCTGTAAAGTCTGCTTTTTGTCTTATTTCCATGCATAACCAGGATCAAAACAATCAATATAATCTCTTTAATATGGTCTAGAAGTGAGCTGCTCCCCCCAAAATTTCTATTTTTCTGTGAAAAATTATGCATTGTAGACTCCTTACTAATGTTGAGAGATTTAATCATGGTATGGCTGATTTTTTTTATTGTTCCAGGTGATAGGAGAGAGTTGAAACCGTTATGCATGTTCTTAGGGACTGGTGGGCTGCTAGGGAAATTGACAGCAGCTTGTCCTTCCTGATTATTGGGTACCATTGTTCAGCAATGGCCCAACCAAGTGGCTTAAGATTAACTTGTCTACTAATACTTTTTCCTTGTATTCATATTGGAATTTATTATTTGGCATTATTGTTTGGAATTTGTGAACTAACCGAAATAAAGAGCTCTTTCAGAATCCAACTTTGAATTCAGAGTCTCTTCTCTGTAAGATAAAAGCTTATTTTGATTTTCTTCTTTTATGTGGCAAGTCTAACATGAATGCTGGAAACAAGTGGTTGGGAGTTGATTGCGTTACCAAAATGATAGCCCCCTCCCAGTTTGCAGATGAAGCTAAATGTTGATGGTGCAGTCTCTTGGGTTGATGGTTTTGCTAGTTGTGGGGGTCTCCTCAGGGACAACTTTGGAAGGTTCATTGTGAGATTTTTCAAAATTTTGGAGCCATGTTTCCCCCATAGCTGCTAAGCTTTGGCCTATCTATTGAGGCCTGCAAATGATCATATCCAAGAAGATTAACCTTGTCTAGGTTGAATGTGATTCAAAGGAGACAATCTCTTTAATTGTTAATATACAGCCTTGTAATCATCCCATGTTTCCTATTATTAGTGATATTAGAAATCTCCTGAAAGGAATTCTTTTAATTTGGTTTAATTATGTTTTGAGGTAGGCTAATAAGTGTACTGATTGTTTGACTAAGATTGGGTTTGAGTATAGGACTTTTTTTTTCTTTTTTAAAGAGGATCCTCTGTTAGTTGGGCCTTATTTGAGGCTTGATTCCCTTAGAATTGAGTATCTTATGATCTCTGTTTAGGTCTCTTTTTGTTTTTGAGTTTTAAGCTCTCTTTACTAGCAAAAAAAAAAGAAGCTATTGTATTAATATTTTAATTTTAATAAATAATTAAAGATATCAAATTATTATATATTTAAAATAGGTTCTTCAAAATATTTTTTAAAGTAAATATATTTTAAAAACATAAATGTAACAATTTTGAAGATAAGTTTTATTTTTTTATCAAATTATATCCTCTTAAGTTCATTCACTAGTTCTATAGATTCAGTGACTACGGTTAAAATTTAAGGTTAAAAGTCTAAAAGAGAAATTTAAGGTAGAAAATTAAATGAAATCTAATAATTCTTACTTGTAATAACGTTGATTCCCTTTTATTTTTTCTTTATTCATATAAACTTATTTTTCAAATCTAATAATTTAGATAATTTTACTTTTTTTATATTGTCATACTATTAATTGTAATATTTGAAAGTAAAATCAATTAAGTTTGAATACACTCCGAAGGGACGAAAAGGTAGAGTTAGGTTGGCAGGGACTTTGTAGATGGGAAAGGGATGAAAGCTACACAGGAAGCGAGAAAGGAAGTGGGTCTAAAGTAGGCTCGAAGATGCTCAACTGAAAGGTACGGAGTTGCCCTATCAGATTAAAGCTAGATAAGGCAAGGGTGTTTGTCTCTGCTCCTATCCCATCGTTGGCATGCATCTCAATTATCTTACCAATAAATAGTTTGGCTAAATTCGAATAGGAGCAATAATTAAAAAAATGTGGTTGAACGTTAAAAAAATACAGAAAAATTATTATCTATAAATTCTACTTAAGTCATATCATATTTATTTAAGTTAATTTTATACAATAGAACCATACAAAATTTGTCAATTTTCACTTAAGTCGTTATTTTTTGCTTAAGCTAAAATTACAAAATTTTCATGTTTGCACAATTCGCTTAAATCAAGTAAATTTTGCATAAGCTAATACTATTTTCACTTAAGAGATTTCATTATTACTTAAGTGATATTTATCCAATTAACCAATTTTTTATTGTAACTTTCGTTTAAACAAGATTAAAATGACTTAAGCAAAATTTGCATACATTATGCTAAGTAGATGCGACAAATATGTAAGAAAAGCATGAAAAAGATCGAATACAGCATTGAATAATCTATCAAAACAAATTTTAATTTACATAATGATTTGATATTGTGAAAGTTTTAATATTAAAGATAACGAATTACATCTACATACACAAAAATTTATAGAAAACCTTAAAATATAAAAAGACATTGAAATTTTGTTAATTTAAAATCAGTTTTTTTATTATAAATTGAAATTACATAATGTGAAAGTTTTAATTTTTGAAATCACCGCCTAAATATAAAATACATATATAGAAAAAGATAAAAAAATAATTATTAATACAATCCTATAAAGATTTAAAATAATAAATTTTAAAAGTTTAATAAATAATTTTATAAAATTCTATGAAAAATTAAATAATAAATATATAAAAAATAATATTTTTAAGTAAAGGTAAAAAAATACAAACTGATAATTAAAAAAATATATAACAATTAAAATATATTAATTTACTCGTATTAATTCACTCGTACACATAAGTTGAAAATAAAAATTGTTTTAAATATAAATAAATAAAATTAAAAAAACTAAATTTATACATGGACTGAAGTATACGAATAAACGTACAATTAATAATTTTTTTTCAAATAATTCAACTGATTTGCATTGTTTTGAGTTATTTTCAACATTCAATAAAAACTTTTTGGGCCCGGCGAATATTCCTCGAACTTTGTTGTCATAATGAGCTTTTAAGAGAGGCGTGGTGGGCCGGATGACGCCCAATTTATTGGGTTGGATGGCCCAACATTTCTTTTTGTGAGTAATGCTGAATAAAAACATGGTTGGGCTAACCATCTCTCCCTCTCTTCGATTCATTATTAAGAAATGGAGTCTTTGGACCACTTGGGACCATTTCGGTGATTGCTAACCAAGTCCCCCTTTAGAAAAAGGATAACAATTGGTCCTTGCAGAGATAGTTCATTGTGAGAGTTATCAGGACAAACACTATGACCAGAGTTTAAATTTTGAGTCTAGCAACTTTCCACGTTCTCCTCTCCAAATCCTAATTTTCCTTCTCCAATGACAAAAAATAAAGAAGAAGAGAATAATAATTGGCTCCCTCTCTTAAAAAAAATGCCGTTTCTTTGTAATTTAGTTAAAGATTAAAAAAATTAATTTCACGTATTGTACTTGTTTTCAGTTTTTAACACTTTCAAGCCCTTTATTATATAATCTTGTAAGAAATTCTTGTTAAGGTCTAACAAATGGCTCAAATGGTCACTGTGATTTCTTAAAGAAGATAATTTAAATGTAATTTTAATTTTAAAAAGGTTTACATGTTCATTTAATCGTGTATTAAATGTTTATGCATCATTAGAATGAGAATTTATTACTCCTTTTATTAAATCATTGTAATTACTTGAAAAAAGTGTTAAATAATGTTATTTAAAATTCAGAATATTAAATGGTTATTATTTTATTTAGTATTTTTTTAATCACTAACATGTACCCTAAAAACATTTTATCATAAAATCATTTTATTTTTATCCAGTTATTTTTCGATCAAATTCTTAAGCACTACAAGTCATACCAATAATGATGAATCTGTGCTTTATTGCACAATTATGTAAATATTAATCTTTTTTGTTTCTCCTATTTCCCTCATAGTCTGTATTTCACTTTACAGGCACAACATATTGTATTTTTATCTTCTCTTTTTTCTGCGACAATGAAAAAAGGTTTGAGAAATATCCTAATTAATTAGCTTTGACTAGATAAGCTTAGACATAGGATCAGGACATAAACATTTAATTAATTGTTCAAATGCACCCCCTTACCAATCTAAGGTATGGCCTCACTTTCACGGTTTGGAATTAGATTTTGGTTTGGTCAAAATTTGACGAGACCACAACTAATGTATGTTGAATAGTTCTTGCTTGGTGGGTTTGGATGGAGAACCTAGTCTGCAACCTGAAGCCAGCTATTGGAATGAAGCAGAAAGCACGGTCAGCCAACCATTTGAGTTGTGAAACTTGTTTGGTTCCCATTATTAACTTATAGTTTTGGGTCATCTACCTATATGGTTTGCAAAATCTGCTTACGCAAGTAGGACCTATCTTCCTCAATTATCATGATTGACTTCAGACTTGTAGCAATCACGTCATCAACCTTCAAGCATACTCCACCTTTGAGACAACCGATACCCAAATTTATTTAATTGGTTTAAAAACAATCGACACGAATTGACCTGCATCAAACCTTCATCCAATCTTGTGCATGAACGGGAACAGTCGATTCATTCTCTTCATTTTTGTGGGCAAAATAAACTAGTTTTGTCTTTTGTGACCGCGAATGGCGGTCACAAATTAAAGTGAGTTGAAGGACCCGTATCCCAAATTCCATGGTCACCAATGGAATAGTCCTCGTTATTCTAGTCAACAGCTCCTAATTCTTTTTTTTTTTTTTGGGTAGGAAAAATCAGACTCATAAAAAGAATGTTGACAAAAAATGGAAGAAAATACTGAACAGAATGTTGACCCTAGAAAGGAATTTAATAAGGTGAGGCATTTTAATGTGTATTCTAACAAGAATGTGAATGTAGTTCATTCGGCCTTACCGCCCTACCATTATTTTTCTGTGTAGATACAACAATATAATAATTGCTGACTGTAAAAAAAAAAATACAAAAAAACTGCAATATAATTGTTAGTGACAACTTGGCAAACAACTTTACATTAAAAAAAAAATGGGTCCGTTTTATCAGACCCGACCCTCAATACGTGGAGCTTCTTTCTCTATGGGCCCAGAATTTTCGGACTCTTCCTTCCTCCTACTTCCCAAACGCAAAAGCCCATACAACTTGCGGAACTCCCTCACCGTGTGAACACTCTCCCTACATATTACAGCACCCGATTCGTTATCATCACTGCTCCGACCCGACCCGCTTTCGCTCAACTTCTGTCCCCCTCTCCTCGCATCTCCACCGTTGGATTGAACCTGCAAAGCCGAAATAACGGTTTTCAAGGCCCGGCTCGGCGAATTGCGGTTGGATATCATGATCTCGCCAACTTCGGCTGGGCTGAGCCGCGCGCCGGTCTGAAAAACCTCTTCGACCTGAGGGAAAAGCTTGTGCTCCTTCAACCCTAAGTAACTACTCGCGAGAATCTTGAAGGTGGAGAAATCACACAAGGGAAAGTGTATGTGAACATCAACCCTCCCTGGCCTCAAAACCGCTTGATCAATGTCGTCCTTAGTACCGTTCATCGTGAACACCATCACGCGCTCTTCGCCGCAGCACGACACGATACCGTCCATGAAGTTCAACACGCTCGATAAATTCACCGCCGTTGATTTCCCCGCCAGCAAGCGATCGAGATCCTCGATCACGATCATCGACTTCGCCGTCGTTTGCATCAGCATCGTCTTCCAATCGGAGCCGTCCGTGAGCTTCGAAACGTCGACGTCGTAGACGTCGTAGCAGAGGAATTTCGCCATGGCCGCCACGAAGCTTGATTTCCCCGTGCCGGACGAGCCGTAGAGGAGGTAACTCCGCTTCCAAACGCGCCCTAACCGGTTGTAGTACTGCTTCGACTTGAGGAACTGGTCCAGATCGGATTTCACCTTGTTCTTCAACTCTGCCTCCATCGCCACCGTCTCGAAGCTCGCCGGATGCGTGAACGGAACCGATCGCCACCGCGAGGTCTCGCCGGCGCCGGAATTGACGTGCAGCTTGATGTCCTTCTTCCGGCGCTGTTCGATCTCGTCGGCGACGGAGAGAATGTGCTGGAAGTATTGGCGGAAAATCCTTCGCTTGTCTTTCTTCTTGATTTTGAGGAGGAGGGTGGCGGCGGTGGCGTCGTTGGTCCATGAGAGCTTGGCGCCGAGGAAGGTGTCGTGGACGGTGTGGTTAGGGTCGAGATGGAGGAAGATATCGGAGGGATTGGGGCCGGAGAAGAGGTTGGTGAAATCGGAGTCTTGGACGGAGGGGAGAGAGTCGAGGTAGGTGAGGATTTTGTGGTACAGTTGGTTTTCTTGGAAATGGTGATTGTAGAGTGGGATTTTGAAGGATTGATGAAGGTGGAGACGGTTTTCAAGTGAGAGGAACCATTGGTTGAGTATGTGAAGTGCAGAGGTTTTGCGGAAGAAGCGAATGGTTAGATATGAGAATAGAATTATGAAGAGAAGGGAAGAGATGGAGGTAACCCATGGCCAAATCATTTTTGACATGGAATCAATACAATCATGCATGCGTTTCGATCAATTAATGGTACCTTCAATGCAATGCAACTTTGTATCAGTGTCAACTTTGAAGGGGTCATCGCATAAGCCCTGTGCCCCCAATTTTTATAATTATTTCCATTAAATATAAGTAAAAACATGTGTTCTTCTTTGGTGTCTTTGATTTTCAAGGTTTTTGACTCTTTGTGCCTCTCACTCTGCACGCATTTTTCAATTATTGTTCAAAGCCTTTTTTTAAAGAAAAACAAATTAAATTTTTTCTTATTTTCTTAGCATATGTTAGTATTGACGAATGATGATGATGACCGGTAATGATAGGTTCCTCGGTGCTCACATGAGTTCATAAAGTGGCACTTTACAGAAAATGACACGCTTACTCGTATAAGTTGTCTTAAACCAACAATGCGTATCTATTTTTATGTAATGAATCATGTTATGCTAACTACTATTTATGAAGGTTTTATTTAGTTAACTTTTATTTGTATTTTGTGTGATTTTTTTTATAAATTCACATTCTTTAGTTTTTGAAACAAAAATTTTATTTTTAATTTTTCTTTCCTCTCTCTTTTCTCTTTTACCTTAGCTTTCAAATATTTTTTCTCTTCCTTTACACTTTAAAAAATTTATTTTATTCGATAACAAAATTAATATTAATGAATTCTTTTGGTGCAATATTAATGAAATTTGAATGAACAGTTTCGGTTCAAAGTTTTGCATAAATAAGTAATATAAAATGTTTGTATTTATTTTTTCCATAAATATTTCCAAATTTGGTCGGTTTTTTTCTTATATAATATAGTTTTGCATTCTATAATAATTTTATAACGTATGTTATTGTATGTTAAAATTTTACGTAATTTGCTCGTATCAAAATTTTATACAAGTTTATAAAGCAATCCATTTTCAACTATTCATAAAATTACTTCAATTGTTATTGATATAATTGCTTATTAGTTTTTTTTTGTTACTGTATAAAAAATAAACCAAGTGCCAAATTAATCAATAAAAAAAAAGTCTCAAATTTAAATATTTTTAAAAGAACATTATTGTCAGCTAATTTAACGAAGATCAACACGCCAACTAATTGGTTTTGAACAGAAATACAGTTACCCATAGTAATGGAATTCGTTTACTTCAAGATAGCCGCAAAGGAAGTTTTTGGTTGGTGATTTGTCATCATAATTTATTATGAACTTGTTTGTAAGTTGTGACACCGTGTTCCGATTCCTTAAACAGCTTAAACTTGAAGAACGGGAGATATTTTTGGTGGATAATTCCAAGGACGTACCAATTAATGTTTAGGATACTTTAAGTTTAAATTATATTAAATTTTATCAATTTAACTGTACCGATTAAATTTACAAAATTTTATATAATTTTAAATTAATTAGTATTTTATTTATTAGGTTCAGGCTAACCTAAGTTATCGGACTAAATTTTAAATTGTCAGATGTACTTAAAAAATATAAACAACTCAAATTTTTGACACCACTTGTATGTATCTTATATAAAGTGATAATTTTAAGAAAATATAAACAATTCAAATTTTTAACATCACATGTATGTATCTTAAATCAAAGTGATGATTTTAAGAAGGTATGTATTTACATGTATTGATTTAGTTTCAATTTATAATAAAAATAATTTTTGAATGAATAAAATATTAAATCTCATATTAGATTTTTAGGGCAAGGGTGCAGTCAAAGGGAACGTGAGGAAAATAATTGACGAAAAAAGAAGACATTATAAGAGTTAGCATTGCATTCAAAAGATCGTCTAATTGTCTCCTTTGTTTTTGAAGGTTGGAAGGTCGCTAACGTTGAACTAGGAAAAATATTTTCGACTTTCAACCGCCTTCAATTGTAATTGCCTATAATAATGGCCTAATTCTTCGAAATAGCATATAATTATTTGGTTGGTTACCTTTTTATATCACGCTGTTTTTATTCTCTATCTCTCTCTCTGGAAGACTATTTTTTTATTCCCATTATAGGGCACAAGTAATTCAAACAACATATCAATCAAACTATTATGATAAATAATTAACCTTAAACATAAGTAGTTAAGGTGATTTAGTCTTGTGAGTAAAAAGAGGAGCAGTTGAGGCTTCCTTAGGAAATAAATAATATATAATATAGTTAAATTAAAGTGAATACAGCAAGTCCTAAAACTTATACTAAAAAAATACTTGCTCTAAGTATTAAATTAAAATGTGGTTTTATCTTTTTGACTAGTCATTTGGTCTAAGTTACGCGACGGTTGTAACGGTTTTTTATGGTTATAATGGTTCAACATCTTTTAAAAACCATCAAAAGAAGAAAAAAAACATTTTTAAGTAAATAAAAAAGGTTTGATGCAACCTGCACGAATCGGCCAAGAGCATGACAAAGGACAATCGATGCAACGATAGGAACCCTCGAAACTATTTATTTCGCGTGGAAGACAATTGATATGCCGATCACAATAAGGACAGTATCAATGATGGCTTAAGATTTAATCAATCAATGTCATAAGTTTCATATCCTGAAAAATTGAAACCTATTATAAAACGATTGTAACCAATAAAAGATCGAAAATCCCCGTAAAATAGATTGTCGTATTAGCGAAAGAATAGAGTTGTCATTCCACCCTCAGTTCCATATTACATCCATTTTTGTCCAATCATCTGCAAGTGTGTTTTTCTTCACAAGACTTTCAGGTTTTCGATAACGACCGGGATGTTTCCAATTAGAATAACGACTTCCAATGCCAATTCGAAGACCCTAAATGAGTGAAAATAAAGACACGATCCCTCTCCGACTGCGATCAATAATGACGTATGCCAACATACATTTAATAAAAAAAATTTAACCCATATTAAAAATTATAACATTTAATAGTAATAATTTATTGAATTACAATGTCTTCTATAATTTTTAATATAAATTCATCACATATAACTTTTTATCCAGTACAAATTGGACAAGTTAAAAAAAAAAAAAAGGTAATATTTAATTACTCAATTATCGTAATTTTATTCGATATTTAATTTCAGCTTCTGTTTTTTTCCACAAACCTTAAAAGTGGTTAAGTAATGATGGAACCACGATGCAGGGGCATCAACAAGACACAACCAGACCATACCAGGGAAGATACACCCCCTACGTTGTGGTCCTGCATTCAGTGTAGATATTATGCTTGAGAGGGAAAAAGCTTAAATTTGTGGTCCTAACTATATAATGAATGAATGTGATGGGAAGTGCTTGCAACTTTCAAGGGTTTGAGCTAATCATCAGCATATGCTGGTGGACCAGAAAAAGATAAAAAACACGAGGATGATAACTGACCCACGGTGCTTAAAAGTATATCCCTGCCGAACCCACTTCAATGCCAGTTATTTCCCCGAGGTCTCAATCATTGGTGGCTGTTGGCAACTTGATACAGACTGCATCGCCTTGATGAATCCTAAGCTTACTCTGTTAAAGTTGTTGGGCATGTCAGTGTTAGATCCAGTTATATTAAAGGGATTAAATCATATAATAGAGCAATTAACTTTTGCTTATGTTAGTATCAAAAGGACTAGAAGAGTAATTTAGAACTGATTCAATTAATGGCACGCTTTTCTCTTTTCCACAAGCTAAACAGAACAATTCAAATCTTCCCTTGACCTTGAGTCCACTTTACTGCTCAGGGCTGATGGATTTTTTTTATCACCACTTTTTTTTGTGTTTGGCTAGTATTGTTCAATGTAATAGAATGTGGATGGACCTAACACCTGAAATACACATTAGCTACCATTTTATGCCGTTCTACTCATAACATATTATATAATATACAAAGGAGCGTGGAACAACTAAAATATCCCTGCATTACCTAAAAAGTATTCAGAGATAAAATTTGGCATAAATGGAATATTTAAAAGTGCTATAAGAAGGATCGATGCATCAAATACGGAACAAAATGCAATAGCCAACCACTGCACTTCTATAATCGATCGATGTGTAAAAAATATATGTTCTATAATTAGTATAACTAAGGAAATAATCGCTGTTACAATTTGGACTAGACTAAATGACAGCGGAAGAATGCTCTAAAAAAAGTGAACACTTTAAGGATCCGGGGCATCTGATTGGAGGTTAATCATTTGAGAAACCAAAAGTTTAGAGAATTCATTGATTGCAGCTTGAAGCTGAGAATCACCTGATTCACCATGCACTGTCCATCTTGAAGGTAACTGAAAGCTTAATCCACCGTATTCACTTGCAGCAACCTTTGTCTTCTGTGAAGTGGCAAGGGCCCTCTCCAAGTCTAACTGCGACAAAGGTCTAGGTGCCTGAAATGTGCAAAATAAACAAAATAACTTAGTAATTTTCAACATCTCCAGCACTTGTTATATGAGAAAGCCAAGACTAATCAATTTGTTTAACAAGACTTAATATATGAAATCACACCTAACAAGAAACCACAAATTGATCTCGTACATTAATTGCTTTCATTGACCAAAGATATCACTCTCAAGCATGCAAATATAACCTTGGGAGCATACAATAGTTTTAAATAGAACAGACATACTTAAAATTGATTTATTCCTTCTCGGTTAGCAGAAGTTGAAATTGATATGAAATTCTAATCAAGTCAGCCATTGAAAACAGTATTCACAACTGGAAGAATGAAAATTTTGTGGCATAGAAGAAAGTAGCAGAGAATATACTAACAGGTGATCGTTTCCCTTCCTTCTCTTCAGCCAGTAGTTCTCTAATAGGAAAATAGGCAGCCTTCTTGCAAAGATCAAATAGATCTGAACCAGTGTAACCCTCACATAACCCAGCTATACGACCAAGGTCTATGTTGTCTTCAACCCTCTCACCCTTTAGGATAACCTTCAATATTTCAGCCCTCTCCCTTTGATCAGGAATTCCAATTTCAAAGGCTTGAGGAAGTCGTCGAAGTATTGCTTCATCAAGTTCTGAAGGACGATTAGTTGCTGCAAGGACCATAACTCGAGCATTCTCTACACACGTACACATATATATTTAAATATAGATGAATTGAGAATATAAAGTTACCAACTAAATCTCCAGCAAAATTGTCATTATCTTATTTGCAACTTATCTTGAATATTAACACAACAAAAGAAAATATCATGATAACTAGTTTAAACTTACGATCTGTGGTAAATCCATCCCACAGAGCCATGAACTCAGTTTTCATGTTTAACAAAGCCTCGTGATCTGTTGTACGACGCTGACCCAAAAAACTGTCTACTTCATCAATGAATATGATGGCGGGCTGGAGCTTATGAGCCAAGCTAAATACAGCAGCCACTGCAGAACATCAGAATATTAAATTTAGACCAAAAGAGGAACCACACTTCAAACAAAGAATAAAACGTATAAGCACATTCAAAATTGGATACAAGTTTATATCATACAATAACATAGGCAGGGTTTGGAAAATTCTTTATATATATATATATATATCAAGAAACCCTTGTTAACTAACTTCTCTGATGAAGAATTTGGCGAATATAGCTAAACAGCTTCAAGCTATCAACCAAACAACCACACAGATGTCAATTCACAATAATAAGTGAACATAAAAAGGGGTAGCCTTTCACTGTCCATTCCTAAAGGGAAAGAAACATGCAAGGAGGGCCAACTCGACCAGAAACAACAACAAAACTTCATCCTATTAGGTGAGGTCAACTACATGAATCATATAACACCATTAAGTTTAATTTAAAACCAAATTCTCTGAAACGTAATTTAGAAAACTGGAATTGATTGTAAGATTTTAACCTTATTATGTTAAAAATTGTTACTATATTAACTTCTTTGGAAAAATGGTGTATTAATGATCGATCATAAGCATTTAGCAGCTACAAAAATTTGTTGAATGGCCTTTAATAAGGTGGAGGGAGGTGGCTTCATACTTTAAAATGATATTTGAGTTGTTTCAAGCCCCAATGCCAGGCCACTATTAACAGATTGTCATTAGGTGAACAGAGAACCTTGTCCATGAATGAAACATATTGAAACATCAATTCAAAAGTACAACCATACTGCACAGTGTAAATTAAAGGGATGTCAAACAAACTTATTGGGAATCAAAAGCCAGAAGAAAAAATGAAGCGCAAAGCAGTCACGTGTTACTTACATATTCTTTTACAGGAAACAACAACAGTCTTTTACCAGTAAGCAGGATCGATCAAAATGACCCCACTTTCTATTGTAAATCATGTTTGTGACAAATCATTTAAATCTAAATCCTTTTGTTTGGCTTGTAGTTTTTTATTAGGTCTCCTTCTACATCTTACTATTGGCTGAATTTTTTGTTGTTCCTTTACACCCCTACCATTAGTCCCATATAACATCACAAATCCTATAGCTATGCAATAAAACTTTACCTTAAACTAGGGTGGTACTGTTCTATCATATATAGCACTCAAGTTAATCCCCCAATTCAGCTAGACCTTTTGACTCCAGTCTTTACATCTCCCTTTATTTCTCCATCAATTTGCAACTCAAACAATTTGACTTGTGCCATATGCTATGGTATCCAATTTTCATGTCAAAGATAGAATTAGTGCACCTCTTGCTAAAGTTACTTTATACAGACTCCATAGTACTTCTATTTAAACAAGCAATATGCTTCCAAAGCTTGATGTCAAAAGATCTAGCTTCATATTTATCTCTTTTCTTGACTCCAATTAAAATTATGTCATCTATAAAAAACATGGCATCGTGGCACCAGCTCTTGGATACATTCAAGAAGCATACTGAAGACCAAGTTAAAAAGATAGGGGCTCAAAGTTGACCCGTAGTGCAGTCCTATAGACTATAGTTGTAGGAAAGTCTTCTATGGAACTCTAATCGTAACCCCATCATACATATCCTTGATTACTAAAATATAGGAAACACAAACTCCTTTCTAAAAAAAAAAAAAAGTTCCATGATAGCTCTTAAGCTACCTTATTGCATGCCTTTTTCAGATTGATGAAAACCATGTGTAAGTCTTTTTCAATTCCTCCAATTCTCTCCATCAACCCTTGTAATAAGTACATTGCTTCCATGGTTCACCTCCCCAGCATAAAACCAAGTTGATCTTCAGTGATGTGAGTCTCTTGTCTTAATATTCACCTTAAATAACCTTCTTCATGAGCTTAATCCCATAATTTAAAGTTTGGTAGGTCATCATGTTCTTTTTGATAGGGATAAAGGTACTTTCTTTTCTGTTTTTTGGTTCAACTGCTTATGCTACATTGTATATAGCTGGTCCCAAGTTTAAAGGAGAGGACAATTGTGCTAGGCAGTCAATAGTCAACATAAAATTTGGTTTGACTATTCCTGGCATGGATCAACAAAGTGATACTCAACCAAATTTTACATGGATCAACAATGTGATTGTGACATGTTCTTTGACACGATCCATGCAGATTTAAATGCATTGCGAAGAGAACTTTCCCAAACAACAGTTTGTCTTATAGTTCAAAGAGCAGCCAATTTATAGCATAAAACATAAAGACCGGTCTGGAACATGGATAACTTTACAAATGCAACATTATATATAATATTCTGATGCAACAAGACATATACTACAATATTGTTTAAAGAATTAAAACAAAAATATACACAAAATTCAATTTAAAATCAAAATCATCCATGTGGGTTATGAACCTTACAATCAATATATATAAACTACAACCATTAATAAAGCACATTCATTTTACTTCAAAAAGTATCAGATTACACAAAAATATCATCTTACAAGATATTCAAAAAGCTTCATCCAGAGAAACAATAAGTCAACAAGACTCGTCATGTTGAATTTGACAAGGGAAATCTGTCGAGTTATCAAATTTCCCATACATTGCAGTTGCACTAGTATTTTTAAGTTTAACTGAAATTAAAAAAACATAAAAATAAAGTATTTGAATCAGGACACGTAATCTTTGCCTCTATTAACTTGATATGGTGTGTCAAAAATTAAAATTCGTATTGGAATTGACTAAACACCACAAAAGCTAGCCATTGTAGTTGAAGAATCCAAGGCTTTATAAACCCCACACTAGAATCCCATACTTTTAATGTGAAACTCAAGTCCCATACCTTGCAATCGAATCCTAACATCCTACCACATTCTGCAACTCTAGTTCTCATGCAAGCTAGCTGTGCACTAGCCCCTTGAATAATAAGGCCTTTGGTTCTCTAACTACAATAACTACCTACTGCAGTAACTGTAGTTCTCTTAAGGTTCTTACTTATCATATTGTAGACAGCAGGCTATAGTTTTACAATATATTGTAGAAGAAGCTGTAAAGATATTGGGCACATACCAAGCTTTTGGGCATCCCCAAACCACTTGCTCATCAGGTTTGATATCCTCACATTAATAAAAACTGCTCCTGACTCCTTAGCAATAGCTTTGGCAAGCATGGTTTTCCCGGTACCAGGTGGTCCATACAACAGGACTCCCTTCTGTGGCCCAAGAAGCTTACCATATGAAAACAAGTTAGGTCTTTTTAGAGGCAAAATAACAAGCTCAAACAAAGCTTGCTTGATTGCTTCGAGTCCCCCAATAGAATTGAACTCCACATCAATGTGGTCAGGATTTATAACATCACAGGCTATAACATCCTGTACACAATAAAGGGCACAAATAAAAATTGAAATAAATGATAACACTTAACTATGGTCCAATATTAACGTCCAAAGTAAGGCCATAAATCCATAGAAAATACAGAATAGATCTAGTCCTTCTTTTCTATGTTTATTTGGATAGAATTCTGTGTTTAAATCCATAGAACTTCATATTATTATCTGAAAACCCTAACAGAAGAAAACTAACGCAGGTGCAATGAATATATGAGACCTCATAAGGGTTAGTCTGAATAAGGGGGCGACCGAGACGCTTGGCAATCTCTTTCTTGAGCTCAAGAGCCTTCTTCGATGATTCGCGGCTCGGGTCGAAGTGTCGGAGCCCCGCAAACAATACCAAGCAACTCAGCGCCGCGCTCGCCGCGTACAGCAACATGTCTTGCAACATTCTTTTCCTTTTCTTGAACTATCAAATCTATATTTTCAATTTGTAATCGATGTTTAGCAGTGAAATACCATCTCTCTGTGTCTCTGCAATTCGGACGACAAACGAAAGTTCTACAAAGTTAAGAATCTCAAGTTTAGCGTTGAGGATCACCAGAGAGAACCTTTACGAATAGCTTGTTGGGCTTGGGCTTGGTCTTGGGCTGGGCTCATCCCTGATGAAAGGCTATTGTTAGGCTTCAGGCAGAGGCCCGGTCTATTTTATTATTGTTATTATTTCTGAAAATTAATCAATAATGTGTTTTACTTGTCATATTGGCAAGATTATTTCACGGCAATGGGCACTAAACTGATATCAATAGCCCAATCATCAAAGCTGAAGGGCGGATACGCTTATTCTTGCGTGTTCTGTCCCATGCAAATCCTGGATATTTTATTATAAATAATTATGAAATAATTTTTATGAGAAATTATGCATAAAAAATTGATGTAAATATTTTTATTATTTAAAAAATATATATTCTACAATCAACTCTATATTATACATAGCTTTCATAACTTAGTTCTATAATAAAATTTGTAAATATATTGAATATGATGTATTTATAAATATAAATTATAAAACATTTTAAAAACTTAACTTATGGATATTACTTTGTTGATATTAAATAATAATTAAAATGTACAAATGTGTAATTCAATTTTAATTGTAAATAATTTATAAAATATAATATTAGTCCTTACATGTGTTTTTTATTTTTAATTTTGTCTTTACACTAAACACCTTATTAACTTTAATTTAGTCCTGTAGTACATATGTGTTTTGTAACATGACTTTTAACACATAGAAAGGTTTGCATATGACTCGTATAAGTAGAAGCATTTGACAAAGTTTAATATTAGCTTAAATGATAAAATTTTTAAAGTGAATAAGATATGAAGATAATTTTTTAACCTAACAAATTCGCTTAAACAATGATGACCATAAAAGAAAAGATTAATTGGACAATAAAAAATTCTCACTTATTAAATTTGTTTAAATAAATTTTAATTGTTTTTTTAATTTTATATCATAGTAACATACACTATACACTTAAAAGACAATCATTATATATTTTATTGTATGCAAGTGTGTGATCTAGATCGAATTTGGAATAAATCGGATAGAAAATAAAATAAAAATTATTATATATTTTATTCCAAAATTACACATATGAATATTACTCACGTACATGATTAGATGACTAGATTTAAGGTTCTATTGCAACATGATTATGGTGGCAACTGAGTTTTCTCTCCATCTATGTGTATAAGTCAACTCATTCAATTATTAGGCAGTAACTTGATAACAAGGACCAAAATAAAATATAAATTTAATCTTAATGTCTATCTTAATGATTATCATTTTTAACTTAATCATTGTCAAATCAAAGTCTAGCTAATTAACTCATTCTTTTGCAATTCATTTTTGTTTAAACAAAGATTGATTATATTGTCACTTAAACATTAATTAAACATCACTTGATGTAAGTAAATAATGACTTGATAACAAAAACTAAGTTGGAAATGATAGACACATATAAAGACTCAACAACATTTTTTTAAAATACATGAATCCAACTGAAAACGAATGACACGTGTAGAAACTACATCCATATCCTAACTGTTTATTGTAGAGGAACATTTTTGGGCAAAGTTATCAAATTAACAGAAACTAAATAAAAATTTAATTGATGAAAGATTATTTTATAAATAGCAAACAATGATTTTAAAATATGAAATATTACATTCTTTTTATAAGTTTCAAATACCTTAAAATAAATTTAGACAGTAAAATAGAAAATATATGATAATAAAATTCATTGTTTACACTGTCTCTTTTAATAAAAAGAAGAGGAATTAGAAACAGGCATCCAAATCTATTAAATGTTTAAATTAAAAAAGTGGTAATTTTCAGACACTTTAGTTAATACAATTTTTGCCTCAAAGTCAAGAGCAATCATTGATTTACGAATCTTTGTTTGAATAATAAAAATAATTGATCTTACTGAAAAGTAAAACAAAATTGTATAGAAACAGGGCAGTGGTGCAACTTTGTTTTTTACGAGCTTTCAGAGTTTTGGCAAAAATAAGCATTTTTAAAATTTATTATTTGATTTCAGTTATGGTTTAAGCTTTCAATCTTTTAATTTAAGTTATTATTCTAAATTATTCTATGCAAAAATTTTATCAAACTTTATTTTGTCTCCTCCATTTGATGAAATATTTAAAATAGCTGTACTTTAATTATTTTTTTAATATTCTATATTTCTTCAACATTTCACTATCAAGCGATCGTCTAGAACTTTCAAACTTAAGTTTTTAATATAAATAAAAAAGCTTAAAATTAAATTAAACTTTTAAAGAAAAATTATAATTTTGGTAAAATAATGAACATTAAAAAAAGACTATCGCATTGGAAGAAAGTGACTGATAGCTCTGTGACCACTTCTCCATTAATCAACAAGTAGTGGAATCCTTTCATGTAAGACAACCCTATTTTATTCGTTGAGAGATTGATGATAAGAAATTTTGAGACGATAGTATATATTCAAATATTATGATAATTATCGTCAGAGTCATTCAATGTAAAGGTAACTAGATGCTGGACTTTCTGTCTAGTTTTTAGATGCTGCAATATGGGCCAACGAAAAGCTGGGGATTTGAACCAAAAGAATAATACAAGTGATGGTCAATTTATTTGAAAAGGAAAGAAACCTGGTTCCATTGCTAACACAATTTAGAGTGCAAATAATTTCAACTACTGTGAAAATTTTAAAACTTGTTGGACTGAAGTAAAATCAAAACTGGGATGCATAATAAATTAACATGACATACAACAGCATTTTACTAGATTCTCTATTTTTCTCTGTGGTCCTCTGTCAAAAAAATCTGCCATAGAAGGACCAATCTAGGGGAAGGAAAGAGGTTTGTCGCATTCACTTTAAGTCCAACAAGTTTTTAAATTTACTCAAACCAAAATAAAAGAAAGAATAATCTTTGGTAACACGCAGAGGAGTACATGGGTTGAGTTAAAGGTGCAGATTTTTTTAATTATATCAAAGTTTTGTCTTCGAGTTAATCTAAATATTTAAAGTTAATGGTTCTATATGCACTAGGTTACTTGCTGTGAATTTCCTAGTAAGTTTAAAACCAAAACAACTGAAAGTTAATTCAAATAAAAGCGCAAGACAAGTTAATTTAATGCTTTTAACACATACTAATTTTTCCACTAAATCAAAATATCATTGACAATTTGTGTAACGCAATAAAATCGTTATTCGTTAATCTTATAAAATGGTATAACAAATAAACTATTTTATTTAAGCAAGTTAATAACTGTAACATGCCCAGCTTGGAATATACAATTTGCATTCCACACAAAAAATATAACTGTGCGTGAACAGAATTTTTCCTTTTGTTACTCTTACGCATCTTAGCAACAAATTTTTTAACCCACCTTTAATTATTAGTTTAAATTTATTAAAAAATATAAAATATATTAATTTAAGAATGAAAAAAAGGTCATATAATTATTAAATATTTTTAATTAATATTTAAGAGTATATTACATTTTTCTTAATTTTTTTAATAGTACTCCAGCATGGAGATTCGATTTATCCAGCCTGTTGGCGAGCTTTTGTCTTAGCTTTTTAGAATTAGTACAAAATGGGACATCAAATTGCGTTGGCATTCGACTCAAACAGGAAACTCGACAATAATTTTATCAGCATTAGTGAACCTCGGAGCTGGACGCCTTGCACTTGTACTGTATCTTACTTGTTTTCTTTTGTTTCTCATCATAAGTTCCATTTGTTATTATAATTACAATTCAAGTGTGTTTATGGGTACAATATTAAGTTTTTTTCTTGTTTTTTATTACTAGACAGAGTTCTATTAAGTCTTTAATTATTAGACTTGTTCTGCTTAAGATGAAAATGGATGATTCTTTTGGTACAAATTATTTTTTTATAATAGGCAATAGGCTTTAGAAGAGGATGTTCTTACAAAAATATTCTAATATCTAAATTAGAAGAATTTGTTCAGGTTACCTGATTGAATTAGGGTAATAGTTGTCCCTATTTTAGGAAAATTTCTACCTTATATAAGAGCGTTATAAATTTTGTTCTTTAGCATATCTATCATGTGTTATTGAAAGTAGTAGTTTCGATATGAACAAAGGTAGTTCAAATTAATATTCATTTAAAAATAATACAGAATAACCGTGGAATTATGACTCATATTAAGGTTAAAGTTGTTATTAATTATAGGCAGTGAGTTTTAATTAGTAATAGTAATTTTAGAGGTTTGCTCACAGTTATAATTATGACTCATATACTTATAAATAGTTTAATTTGATATAAACAAATATAATTCCTATTACTATTTTTATAAAAAAAATATTTATTTAACGAGTTGTTTAATATTTTAGTTCTCAAAATTGTAATGAAATTTACTTTACAACATGAAAAATGCAACAAATATAGTAAGTGAGAGGAAAAAAGTGTAAAAATCATAATTTATTTTTTATTACGATATAATATTTATGACATTTTAAACGTTTTTTTTCCAAATAATCACACACAATGACCATTAAAATTATTCTACTTAATTGACATTTTCTCTAAAACAATTAAAATTAATCTTTGAGTTTTATAAGTTAGAAAAGACAAATATAATGTTAAAAGGATTTTTTTTATATTAAATTATTTGATAATACTATGTCACAAGGTTTGGTTCTTTATTTTTAACCAATTTATGAACTGGGGTAGTCATTAAGAGTCTTTCCTTTCACTCTCAAGTTAAAAGATCGTCTCATTTAATATCTTGCGTGTATAATAAAATTAAAAATTATATAGATGATTCTTTATTATTTTAAAATATAAAAAGTAATAATAACTTTTAAAAGGTAAAAAATAAAAAATAGAAATAAGGAAATTTGAATAAACTATTTGGGGTGCATTGTTGCATGTTTGGTAGAAAGGCAAGGTGAAGTGAAAAATGAGCAAAGTGTCCGATGAGGAACATGGATACGAGAGAGAAGGGTGATGGGAAGGAAAGAGGGTTTTTTTTGCCTGTATAGGATTTAATCAAAAACATTTTATCCGTATGAGGTTCTTTGACAAAAAATTCTCTGTTTAGGGGGATTTGTGAGTGTCGTCAAAACTGCTGGCGACACATGATCAAGTATCGGCTGAAAGAATGCCGACACAGTTCTCAGAAATCAATTTTAGAGAGCAGTTGTTACGGAACCACTCTCTAAAATGGACTTTTGAGAGCGGTTCAATTCGAACCTCTCTCAAAAGTCATGTTTTTAATTTATTTACTATTTCTTATTTATGTGACATAATATTTGTTGAAATATTATTACAAATTTAACAACTGCAGATTCTTATAATATAAATTTATTAATTAATGTTTTTCATTCTTATTATTTCAATTTTATTTTGTTATTCATAATTTTATATTTTATTAACCTTATAATAATAATCACACATAATTTTTCTTCATATATTTATTCAATTTAATTCTTTTATATTTCTTATTTAATTATTTTTTACATAAGTAACAAGAAAATTATATATTTTAATTTAACTATTTTTTTATTTTTCTGTTTTTCTATATTCCTATTTATTAATTTGAGAAAATAGGAAAATAATTAAATTAAAAACATGACTTTTGAGAGCGGTTCAATTCGAACCGCTCTCAAAAATCCATTTTAGAGAGCGGTTTGAATTGAACCGCTCTAAGAAGTGAATTTTAGAGAGCAGTTCGATTTGAACCGCTCTCAAAAGTCCATTTTAGAGAGGGTTTCGTAACAACTGCTCTCTAAAATTGATTTCTGAGAACTGTGTCGGCATTCTCTAAAATTGACGACACTCACAAATTATCATAGACAGGGAATTTTTTGTCAAAGAACTCCATACGGATAAAATGTTTTTTATTAAACCCTATACAGGCAACAAAAAAAAAAAAAAAAAAAAAAAACCAGGAAAGAGGATGTATCTTGGTCCGTTGAGGGGGTGTAGAGCGCAAAGAAGTCAACGTCTTGGGAGCATGGGCCCCACTCTGGTGTCTCCTTCCACTTCCTTATCTGCGTAATGCCCCTCTGTCATTTTGAAGTTGCATGAAATCAAGATCATCAACCCCCCACTCTCTCCTCTGTATCTCAGTCAACTCCATCAACCTGTTCATAACACTTTTAACATGTGTAGTACAATAACATTAGCCATCATTTGTAGTACCACACCACTACGTTGTACTACTTGTCCAATACCTCTCTTCTAAGGTTCCCATGCCCAGTATAAATTCTACGTTTTCCTCCCCTCTTTCCACCAATTCACTTGTTATACCACAAACAAACCCTCCCAATTAAGCTTTTCGGATTCCCACGTTTCTGTCTTTGTTAGTACGTCTCTGTTCCTCTGGGTTTTTTTTTTTGTTTGAATTTTCACAAACCGAGGTAAAACGTTTGATGTGGTTTTCATCTTTTACTGCTTGTTACTTTACGTGCCATAAAATCTCTGGACTGTCCCTCCGTTGAATCCGATTCTAATTCCATTTTTGTTTCTTTCTGATACCGCCGTCCAACTATCTATTTTGGAGTTTTTTATTATAATGATTGTGTTCTATTATTTATAGTTAGAATTATAATTATGTTATAAATTTGGTTTATTAGATTCGATAATGTTAAATGGAGATGCGTAGGAAGTGAAGGAGCTGGGAGACTGTTGATTATTATTTTTGTCCTCTTTCACTCTGTGATAGAGTTAACCTTGACTTAATTATATTTATAGATTACTCACTCAGAGTTGAGTGTTTGGTGAATCCAATGGGTACTATAAGCAACGAAGAACTCGAAGAGATTCAGAGTGTCGACAGAGAGGACATTGAGGAGATTCCAGTTGTGCCTCAGGATGTGAGTAGAATAGCACCATGGCCAAGACAGATTACGATTAGGGGACTAATAGCTAGCTTTCTGATTGGAATAATTTATAGTGTGATTGTGATGAAGCTCAACCTCACTACTGGATTAGTCCCTAATCTCAATGTTTCAGCTGCTCTCCTTGGCTTTGTGTTCATTCGAGCTTGGACTAAGGTGCTTGAAAGAGCCAAAATTGTTCCCACTCCATTCACTAGACAGGAGAATACCATAATCCAGACTTGTGCTGTTGCTTGTTATAGCATCGCGGTAGGAGGTGGGTCTTTTCTGAATTCAGTTCTTGAAATTGTATTTGTGTTTGCATGTGTAATTTGTTGAAGTGAACTTATGTGATTGTAGGTGGTTTTGGGTCTTATCTCTTGGGGTTGAATAGGAGGACTTATGAGCAAGCAGGGGTTGATACGGAGGGGAACAATCCTGGTAGTACCAAGGAGCCTGGAATTGCATGGATGTTAGCTTTTCTCTTTGTCACCAGCTTTGTTGGGCTATTGGCGTTGGTCCCCATTAGAAAGGTATGATGTTGCACAAGATTCATTTAATGTTGTTGGTTGTTCAAAGGTTGCTATTCTCTAAGCTTGTATATTGTTGAAGGGATGATGATCTCGTTTTCAAAAGATTTTGGTTCTGCTTGACTTGAATGGTGTTGCTAATGATGTTTATGTTATTTAACAGATCATGATAATAGACTACAAATTAACTTATCCTAGTGGAACTGCTACTGCTGTTCTCATTAACGGGTTCCATACTCCTAAAGGAGATGTGATGGCCAAGTATGAACCTGTTTTAATTTGTTCGTTTTTGTTTTCAAGTTAAACAATGTGAATGTTTATAGGAGCTCAAACTAGTTCAACTTCTTTCGCAGGAAGCAAGTTCATGGTTTCTTGAAGTTCTTCTCAGCCAGTTTCATTTGGGCTTTCTTTCAATGGTTCTATACGGGAGGGAATAATTGTGGATTTGTTCAGTTCCCTACTTTTGGATTGAAAGCATGGAAGAACTCGTATGTTCCTTTGTCTTTCTTTAACTAGTAAATAGTCTCTCAACCATGAAATAATTGTCCATTGTTACTGATTATACTGATTAAAGTGGTTCAATTTGTCAGATTTTACTTTGATTTCAGCATGACTTACGTTGGAGCAGGAATGATTTGTTCCCATCTAGTAAATTTATCCTTGCTTCTTGGTGCTGTGATTTCATGGGGCATTATGTGGCCTTTAATCAGGGGACTAAAAGGAGAATGGTTCCCTGCAAGTATACCAGAAAGTAGCATGAAGAGTCTTAATGGCTATAAGGTCAAAATTTGGCTAGAATTAAAGAATTCTATCAAAGCTTATTTATTTTAGTTCTTTCAATTTCAAGCCTTGAATATTTTTTTTTTCTTGCTGCAGGTTTTTATTTCCATTGCCTTGATTCTTGGTGATGGGCTATACAATTTTGTCAAAGTTCTCTATTTCACTGCCACAAATATCCATGCCACTGTGAAAAAGAAGAATCTTAATACATGTAAGTAAATGGCCTCTAAAGTTTTTCCAGTTCCTGAGGATGCCACTCAGATCCTCAACATACCCTTTCCTATATAATAAAAATTGTTATCATCGTTTCAACAGACACCATAAAAAGAGAAACAAAATTATCTGTTTATAACAAAGTGAACAAATATTAGCTCTTGTTTTGAGTCTATAGGTGTCATATAGGTTGCTGGATTACATAGTATAAAGCTCCATTTGGTATTTAGCCAAATGTAAGTGTTCTTATATGGAGTGGTTCATGATAACAGTGAACCTCAAATTTGTCTGTAAAATCTAATAATTTTTGTCACTGCAGTTTCAGAGAACCAGAGACAATTGCCTCATGATGACCTTAGACGGAATGAAGTGTTTGCAAGAGAAAACATTCCTATATGGTTGGCATGTACAGGATACATATTCTTTGCCATCATTTCTATCATTGTAATCCCTTTGATGTTCCCCCAGTTGAAGTGGTACTACGTGGTGTTTGCCTATATTTTTGCACCCTCTCTTGGCTTCTGCAATGCTTATGGAGCTGGCTTAACTGACATGAACATGGCCTATAACTATGGGAAAGTGGCTCTCTTTGTGCTTGCAGCCTTAGCTGGAAAAAGTGATGGTGTAGTTGCTGGGCTTGTGGGGTGTGGCCTGATTAAATCTATTGTTTCTATTTCATCTGATTTGATGCATGATTTCAAAACTGGTCACCTTACTTTCACTTCCCCTCGTTCAATGCTTTTAGGCCAAGCTATTGGGACAGCAATAGGTTGTGTTGTTGCTCCTTTTACATTCTTTCTTTTCTACAAGGCTTTTGATGTAGGGAATCCTGATGGGGAATATAAGGCCCCATATGCCATCATATACAGAAACATGGCAATTCTTGGTGTAGAAGGCTTTTCTGCCCTTCCCCACCATTGCTTGCAACTCTGTTATGGTTTTTTTGCATTTGCTATAGCAGCCAACTTGGTCAGAGATCTTAGCCCAAAAAATGTTGGGAGATGGATTCCACTTCCAATGGCAATGGCTGTCCCTTTCCTTGTTGGTGGTTACTTTGCCATTGACATGTGTGTGGGTAGTTTGATTGTGTTTACCTGGCACAAACTAAACAAAAATGAGGCAAGTTTGATGGTTCCTGCAGTTGCTTCTGGTTTGATTTGTGGAGATGGATTATGGATTCTCCCTTCATCCATTCTTGCTCTGTTAAAAGTTAGTCCCCCAATATGCATGAGCTTTTTGTCTACCAGTTAGAAGTTCATATTAGTATTCAAATATAGAGATAAGAGGAAATAGATGTAGTCCACTTACTAAGGTAATTAATTATGGGCATAATGTGGTAGGAGGCCTTCTTAATAGTTATAGTGATTAGCAATTTTATTCATAAAAGATTCAGCTCTTGTAATCTAGAGTGATATGTAAATATTTTGACATACTTGATTAGAGTGAGGGATCAATTTGAGTGCACATTGCATCACTCTGGCAAATGGGTGAGAGTGAACATATTCAAATTGAATTTGTAGCACATATAACTCTATTCAAATTTGTTAAATTCTGAATTTATAAATTTACTTTTGGTAAGGATGTTAAAAATTCGAGTTGTTAATTAGGGCTTATATAAACCATCCAACAAAAAGTGGCCTGTATCAACAAAATTAAGAGAGGGAGAGATTTTGGTTTTTTCCACCTTTTTTCCCCCTCTTTATACCACAATAATTTTTTTTAAATATTACTAAAAAAAATTAAATTATTGAATAAAAATATAAATATAAATATATTTTTAAAATTAAATAACCTCCCAAATTTTCTATTTTTTAGATTTTAAAATACTTTGTTCTATTTTATTTTCATTTTTCGTCTCTATTATAGTTTGTTCTCCATCCTTGTCACTTTAAACTTTGTTATTCTTCCATCACTATCTTTACGAATGTATTATAGAAAATTTAATTTACTAAAAATGTAGTCTTTGTTGGCCTTGATTAACTTGTAAATTCTAACACTTTTTTAGAAATAAATTTATGAAATTAAATTAATTTTCAAATTTATGTTTTCGCACTTCATGAAATTAATAGAATTATTAACTATTTCTAAAAATAAATTTTCAAAATTAAAATTTTACATTTTCAAAAGTAAGTTTCCAAAATTAAAATTTTATACTTCTGAAAAATTAGTTTTTCATATTTTTGAGTTTTCATATTTTTGAAAAATATTTTTTTGACATTATTAACTATTTCTGGAAATAAATTTCTAGAATTAGGATTCACCTATTATAAAATTAATCATTTTTATGTATATTTTAAATTTTAAGTTTTCAAAAATATTTTTTTTATTCAAGCTTCTGCAGTTTAATTTCTGAAAACTAATTTTGTTTAAGTAAGTAAAAGTTTTATTAGAATATTTAAGTAAGTAAAAGATTTTTTTTCTCTTTTTTACCGAACACGTAAATTTTGATAAAATGGCGATGTTGTGTTTAAGTGTAGAGAGCTAGCTTTTTATTTTTCAAATGAAAAATCTTTTATGCACATTTTAAGTGAGAAATCTTTCAATATCCTTTTAATTTTAAAAATTATATATATATATATATATATATATATATATATATATATATTATGCGCATATAAGAAAACTGATTCTACAATTCAACATGAAATTAACTAAGCATGTCAAATACTAAAATATGTATAATGTGTATTCAAATTAACTTTAATTATAAACTTCAAATCAAAACACATGTATAATGTGAAAATTTAATTCATAGTACAAAACTAAAGCCCGAAGCCCAGTGCAAGTAAAACAGCGTGAGAGAAATATGATATTTAAAATATGACTCGTGTTAAGATTTGTGAATATTTTAGTGTTATGTTATAAAATAATCATAATTTTTTTAAAAAAAGTATTCTTAAAATAATAAAATTTAAATATACATTTTAAAGCATAATGCTCCAATTTTCACAAGATTTGCCAACGATTCCAAAAGAAATCGATGAGCAACATTCTTGGAATTGAAAATGAAGAGTTGCTTCGAAAGGCGAAGTAGCTAGCAATGGGTATTCCATCTAACTCTGGCATGGTGTCTCGTGTTTCAACTTTCAAGAAATGTTCGTCACGAGCAAAGATTTTTCACTCTTATTTGATACCATTCCCACGTTGGCGGCTTCTAAATAAATTGCATTTGATGAAGTAGCTAGCCCAATTAACTACTACCAACTCTTTCAACTCAATTTAAATGCTGCCAAAACCACTCTTTAATTCCTTTTTTTTTAAAAATAAAATAAAAGCTATTTAAATTTAATAAAAAATAAATTTATAATATAAAAAAGCAAATGATGAATGATCTAATTGTACCCGTGAAATGCAACACCCAATTGGTCACAAATTGAAGTCTATGACGGGGAACCAAAGATAATCATATTTTAAGGAAAGCTGCGTAGTAAACATTACATTTGAATTGACTCGTGAATTGTTAATTAAAATAAGTCATCGGTAAAACCAGGGGCTGTTTTGATTTTGATCATTTTACATTTTTGCAGTATTAATTTATGGATATAGTCGGCTTTTTGTTTGCAACAATGGTTGGTACACGTCATTTTATGTTTAATATTTATTTATGTGCCTTCAACTTTTTGCATAAGTATCTTTTAGTCATTTGATTTCTTAATTACTTAAATTATTATTTAATATAAGTTAACATTTAAATGTTTTGATTAAACCTCTATAATTATGTGTCTCAAAATAATAGAAGTGCCTATGCATTTTATATCTAACTAAAGTTAGTCGTACTTTGTGTACCATTGACATTTTTCTTTTGAGTTTTGCAAATGAAAGCCAGACACGTGTTAAAAAGCAAAAATATTAAAAAATTTAATATGTTAATAATTCAATTTTTTTTAATGACATTATTTTAATTAAAGGGAATATATATATATATATATATATATATATATATATATATATATATATATATATATACCACCATTGATGTGGTTAGTTTGACTAGCCCGTTGTTTTTGTGGTCGTTGTAGAATAGTCATGTATTATATATACAGTTTTCTTATACTCATATTTTGACTATTCAAATTGTCATTTCTACATGTCCTTTTAATAGATATTGTTAATATTCTTTGGAGACACTTTATTAATTTATAAGATGTTATATTTTAGCTCAAATGATTTATTTCCATATTTTTAATCTTTAATTATAAAAGTCTCGCCTTATAAAAATATGCATAATTTTTTTTGTAAATTATAACTTATTATCTTTAATATACTTGTGCAATGTAAAAAAAATGATATTTTTTCAAAAAGAAATCATGCACTTCGATATTAAATGAATCAATAATGAAAAGATAAAAAAAAAAATACAATTTTTTATACAAGTTAAATCATATAAAAATATATTACTATAAAGGGGAAAATATAAAACTATTACAATATCTTATTCTTTTTTAATGATTTACACTTAACCAATAACATTATTGTGGCATTTATTTATATTAATAAATATTTAAACGAATAAATTCTCAACTATAACCGATAAAAAATGTTATGCCTAATAAAAGTAAATTAATGATAAAAGTTATAAGTAACTGAAAATACCAATAACTACAATCACGTCACCATAATCATAAATATATTGTTTATTGTGCTATTAACAAAACATAAATTATAACCTCACATGATTTTGATTATTGTTAGAAAAAGATTTGCATAAAAGCGTATTTGACATGTTGACAACCTTATAAATTTTAATATCCACAAAATTTTAAAAAATAATTAAAGAACTCAGATAACACTAAAATTGAAAAATTAACTAAAAAAAATACGGAACAGTGTATTATTACATTCAAAAGTCTCTGTCAAGGAAATATGCCAAATCTTTGTAATTCACTCAATCCATAAATTGAATTCAGTATATGAAATATATATGTTTTTCACAGAATTTGAATTTCTCCTCACGTGTCAATTCTGTAATTTCAAGATTTACGAAGGCCATTTTTGTGGCCCAAAATAAAATGGTGGTATATATAAGAAAGTACGTGGCTTAATAAGCAGTCACCGTAAAGAGAGTGAGAGATTTGGACACAACACTCACCAAAAGGATCTGTATCTGGGTTTGAGAAGAAACGGAGAAAAAACCCTTCTCTGGTAAGTATTGTTGACCCACAATAATCAAATTTTATTTATTGATTCATTATTAAATTTCCATTCATAAAAACCACTTTTTTTTATGGTTAATTTTCTTTTGGGATGATTGGTGCTCGTTCCCTTTCTTGATTCTCAAGATCCTATCTAGACCCCCAAGAAATAAAATAATTGTGGGTTTGACTTGAATTTTTCTGGGTCCTATGTATTTTTTGATTTTGTGGCAGTGAAAAAAGAATGGCTTCAGATCCAAAACTTCACTCTTTCGAAGAGGTGGCAAAGCACAATCAGACCAAAGATTGCTGGCTTATCATTTCTGGAAAGGTCAGTTCTTTTTTGTTTCTTTCTTTTTAATTCTTTGGAAGGATTTCTGATTTTCCTTGGAATGATCGATTCTCCTGGAGAAACTGGGAGAAGACGGATTTAAGATGAAACCAGGGCTTTTAGCATTTGCTTTTTGGTATTTGAATGCTTTCATTTGATTCATGTTTTGCTGATAAAGTTTGATGTGTTGGGCCTCATGCATGTCTTGTTTGTCCTGTGTTGGAGTAGCCACTATTTTCTCTTCTTTTCATTTTGTCTATACTGACTTTCTACATTTGCATCTAACAGATAATTCCTTATTGCCACAGCATCTTTAAAGGCCTTGTATTATCTGGCTTTCTTATGCTCAAGTTCGGTTTAAGGAATTTTTAAGGGTGGATGTTATTTGGGTTTTGTTTATGCTATGTCTGGATCGTATGCATATAACAAATAGGTTCCGATTCTTGTACAAGATTACATTTTCCACGTGCTGCAGCATCTTATTTTATACTACATGATTGATTGCACAGCCAAAATAGTTTGTGGTTGGAATTCATCTCCTTATACTAATGTTTTGACATTATATGGTATACTTTGCATGTCTACACCTTAAAATCTCATTGCAGCATGTTCAATTGAAATATGAGAGGCACTGTTTTGCATGGATGACTCAAGTATTAAAATGGATCATGTTAACCAGTATCCTGATTCCTGATACTAATTAGTTTACATGTAAGAAAATGGTTGAGTAGAATATATGATCTGGTTGACTATTGAATATTAGAAGATTTGTAAGTTCTTGTTGCATATAATTTTGCAGCAAGACGCTATCTCTTTTTTTTCTGGCTTTATTTGCACAAACACATTCATTTAATGTTATTTTTAAAATTAAAGAAGGAATTGATAAGATGATGATATGAATATTATAAAGTGAATGGAGGATTTCTTCCATAAGAAAGAGAAAATACATGGTAAACAAGAAGGAAAAATAGATATCAATACAGTAAACTAATGCCATGCCTCAACATATCTGAGGGAAGCCCCTTTAGAAAGACCATGTGCAACTACCTAGTCTTAATGGAATATGAAGAGATATGATACATATTACAAGTTTTATGCTCCAACCAAATGTTACCAAAAGGTACCAATACTGCACAGTTCCACTAAATTTGTAGCCTTATTTACTTCTACCAAAACCATAAAACTGTCTGACAAATACTGGGTCAAGTACATAGGACAAATCTGACATTCTCCAGAAAAGCCAAAGAAATAATTCCATAAAGTAGAGACAGCTGTTACAGGAACTAGGCTTCCATAAAGTAGAGGCAGCTGTTATAGGAACTAAGCTTCCATCATGCATAACGCCCTTATTAGGGGGAATTAAACTATTTGACACACACTTGTACCATTTCATTGGCATTAATTCTATTACATGCAGCTTTCATTGGAAATTACATTATTTGACGGAGATTTGAAAAAATGACTCGCAAAAATGCTCCCCAGAAGGATTAAGAGACTGAATTTCTCTATCTGGATTGGAGGACAATCACATGATCCAGTAGATTCTAAACAACCTCAAATTCAGATGATTCCTCATCATTAAATGATGAAATATAATACCATGAATGATAATCATTAGTCAAAGGTTCCATACGAAGACATTATAGCTACCCACTTAACTTTGGAACTTAAGTTTTAACTTGAGACCCAAAAAATCAACCATAGTTTCAATTCTATTATTTTATGAAGCTATTTTGTGCTTAACAAATTTATGTGCTACAACCATGTTAGGTGTACAATGTCACCCCTTTTATGGATGATCATCCAGGAGGTGATGAGGTTTTGTTATCTGCAACAGGTATGCTTATATAGTTATATCACCTGAATATTATCAATAATAGCACCAAAGGATATGCATATTGATTATACTCTACTTTATGGATTTCAGGGAAAGATGCAACCAATGATTTTGAAGATGTTGGACACAGTGATTCTGCTAGAGAGATGATGGCAAAATACTATATTGGTGAGATTGATGCATCAACTATCCCACTAAAGCGGACCTACATTCCACCCCAGCAAACTCAGTACAATCCTGACAAGACTTCAGAATTCATGATCAAGATTTTGCAGTTCCTCGTCCCACTCCTGATACTGGGCTTGGCCTTTGTTGTCCGACACTACACCAAGAAAGATTAGTGCTTTCTTTATCACATTGCACCCTAGTGAAGGATCTGTTAGCTATTTATACAGTGTCATTTAAAGCAGTGTTTAGTTTTATTTCTGGTGTCTTGAGCATTGAAACTGGATCATAGACTATAGTTCAGTAAGCCAATCTTTTCCAACTTTCTTTGGCCCATTGGTATTGTGTCATTGTCACTGAAGAACCTAATGTTGGACAATAAGTTTCCTTCCTTTTTTTATTCATGATCGTTGCTTTTTTTAAAAATTATTTCTCTTTTTTCTTTCAAGGATCACCCTATCTTCTTTGCTGGCTTAATATGTGTCATTGTAACACTGTCGTCTAAAATGAGTTGGCCCGAATGGATTGGGTAGCTCATTTTGTTAGCTTTATCCATCTGGAATTTGGAACATGTGCTTAAAGTATGAGTAACAGTAAAAACAAGACAGCCTTGCACATACAAAAGGACAAGAAAAGGAGTGTGAACTAAAATCTCAAAGCCTTGAGGAAATGGAGAAGCGGAACAGTATAACTTCGAGATGCAGAAACCAAAACTGCAAGTACGACAATGGATGAATTTTTTATTTTGTATTCAATGGTGAAAGTAGCATGGAGCATGGGCCAGATATTGACAAATAGGAAATGGCAAGAAACGGTTTGGACAAGAAAACAAAAAAACAGAAAAGCTAACTGTATTACAAAGGGGAATAAAAGAAGAAAGAAGACACTTCATAGTCCCTTGCAGTCTATTTTTAAGGGTGGTGCTGTTGATTATTTTTAAGATTATTAGTAGTTTCTGAAGTTGGACTAATACGTTTATTTTAGATAAATAATATCGAGATTCTTAACAAATAAAAGAAAACAATATTACAACATTGTCTAACATATTTTTGTTAATACTTAAGCATAATAACAAATATTAAAGTTGAGTTCATATATTTTATACTGAGTGTATGTTTATTTTCTTTTTGCTGTGTTCTTACGATTTTTAACATTATATTTATGTATTATTTAATTTCAAACATGTTTATGTTATTTTTCTAAAAAAAACACGAATCGCAAAACCAAATATTAAACTTGATATAAATCATTTAATGAACAAAAATCTCATTTCAATCTATAATTTTATAAATCATTTATTGTAATTATTTTTATACAAAATGACAATGAAATAAAAAAAACTAACGAACAATTTTAAAAAAAAATAAAAGTTCATCTGAAATTTTATAAAACTAAGGAATAAAATGATCATCGCTTTTAATTCAAAATACTAAATTAGACCTTTATTACTAATTTTGATGAAAAAATTGCATAAAAATACAAAAATTTAATCATCCGATGACGACGAGAATGGGATCCTTCCGTTGAAGTTTGTTGCCATCGAAGCAAAGTGTCAGGTCAGTTAAGTATGTGTCAATTCACGACAAAAAAAAAAAGAAAAAAGAAGAAGCTGTGTGATCAATTAATGTGGCCAAGTTGGTCGTGTTACAATGGACCGAAGCATATTTTTCACATGGGTGAATCATTGAATTATAACTGTTAATATGGCATCCTTAAATATGAATAGATGAGATGATAAATTTATATTTTAACTCTGATCCTTAAACCAAATTTAGCTTTTTATTCAATCCTTTTTGAGTTCACGTGAATCCGCTGCAAGTCTCCACCCTTAGGCTTCACCGGAAAACATGTTACATGTGCCGCTGCACTTCCCTATTCGCGTGACTATGCAAACATGGTTGGGATGAACAAGTTTAATATCTTTTCCAGCAATGGGTTGTCCCTCCCCCTTTCTCCAACTTTTTATACCAATACACTCAGCATCCCTCTTCCAAACAGAAACCCGCTTCCTATTTGGGTTTCAAACGGTGTGTGGAAACTTGAATGAGGTGTCTCTGCCTCCAGTCATATGATTTCTCCAACGACGACAAGAATTTAATGGCCACCGGCAGCGACGGAACATAGTGAAGATATCCCTCAAACTCATGAGATGCCACTGCTTTTATTTTTTAATTCTGATTTGAGACACATCTCGCAGCATCTTTGCGAAAAGCTGGGGTTGTAGGTGTCTCAAATCAGAATTAAAAAATAAAAGCAGTGGCAGCTTGAAAGTTAAGATCTTTTGACGATATTGTAAACCAGCCAAAAGGAAAAGGAAGGAGCCAACGTGGAAAAGAAAAGCGTGCATCTAAGTCTAGCCAATTTCGATACCCACATTAGCCAACAATGTCGAAACTGAGCCTTTTAAATAAGCAGTGGCAAGTTTCCGCAAGCAGCAAGCACCGTTGCCATATAAACTCAACATTTGCAGGACTTAATTGTAGACACGGAGGAAAAATCTGGCACCTTGAAAGTTTTTTAATATTGTAAACTAGTTTGCTTGTGTATCAACTTCAGTCATCGGAAAGATGTGTCTATTTTCATTTTGTCATGAAGGGTGACTACTAAATTATGGGCATCATCCAGCAGCTTCCAAACATCAAGTTGTCCAGCCATGCCATTGCATTCCTTAATGATCTCGTCCATGCTGCTATATTTCTCAATAATCAATTTCCTCTTCTGTAAAACTGAAGCTGCTATTGCATAAAGCAGTAAATCGTCTGTTGGTGGAGCACGCTGCCTAATTCTGCTCCATGCAGATTTCCCAATACCTGCCCTGATAGCTGCTTGATCAGCCCACATTACTTCCCAAAGACACAGAGTCTGTTCAAATGTCAACTCCCTTCTAAACAATACCACCACCATCCTATACACAAAAAAGCAATCCTCGGCCTGAAGCTTCTGCAAATGCCTGAACAGGTGGGCATCCTTAAACTTGATAATTTTTGCTACTATATCAAGTTGCCTCCTAATACCCACCTCATCAAGCCTGAAATTCTGCCGAGCCTTCTTCATGAATGCAACAAAACACCAGAAAGCCTCGTGATCTTCTGATATAACACTAACTATAGGAGATAGAAGATCACTCATACCCTGGCAGTAGCCAATTTCAGGGTCATATAGAGCATATGCTTCGAGAATAGCAACTAGTCGAGCAGAATGAAAGATTCTGGCAGAGTCTAGGTGACCATAATCCTTCAAGCCAACAGCCTCGGCAGAATGATGTGCCCTACTGTCTGCTACAACAGCCTGAGAAGGGGAGTATGGCATCCATTCTGCATTGGCACGTACTGCATCAAGTCGAATGATTCGTTGCCATGTGGCAAAATCTTCATTACTCCATAGTTTTGATGGGACTTTCATTTGGGAGGAAGAAACATTTTCCTTTGAATTGTTCTCTTCCTGACCATCATCAGAAGGAAATGTTTGAATTACCTCAGGACCTTCCGAGGAGTCTGAATCAGTGGAATCAGTATCTGGCACAGAGGAATCAGCATTGCTAGTGTTTGGAGCATCATCTCCTTCCAACAGGGCACCCGATGGATCATCTGAATACTCAATATCCAGGCTTCGTTCCTCACTGGAAAGCGATTCTCTGGCACTTGTTGCATCTTCTAAACTTGGAGAACCATAATCTTGAACAAGACTTCCGCCATCTCCTTCATAGCTGATTTCACCTATTTCATTTAACTTAAAGCTCCCATTACTCTGCTTTAGCAGTTGCTGGCATTGTCTGCGAAGCTTCTCATACTCCTTTCTGTTTCAAAGATTTAGCATAAAAGCAACATTATGTTAAACCAACCAAATAGAAGAAGGATGTACATACAAAATAAAGTTTTGATAATACTGGAGAAATACGATGGATCAAGCATGGATTTGGCAATCCAAAATATATACTTACCTATTTTGGGCTCTTATAGCTTCTCTTTCTTCTTTGGTACTGTCCAACTCATAGCTGTGTAAATGAATACGAAATCAGTAACCATACAAGAGTTTATCACTACAAATCAATACATACAGGAAAGAGTGAGTAAAAAATTTCTAATGACAAAATAAATAAAACAGAAGGTAATCAATATCCTTCCTAATGCATAACATGACCCAAAGAATCAAGTTCTGGGTATTGATAAATGAAAGATATTTTAGGTTCATCACAACCAAGCAATGCAGCATAGAGACTTAAAATTTCAAAAGAAGAGCAAGACAATTTAAATATTAATGGGAAACTTCAAATTGCTCCACATATCTGTCCCATTTGTATGCCATGTCTGGCTGAAGTTCCGTAGTCCATACTTTCTACAACCCATGTTTGTGGGAAAACAAATAGTAATTCATTACTTAAAATCAAACATAAAAGATAGCAAGCTTACACTCCGAGTAGGAATGGCCAAGCTTCAACCCTAATACTAGGATCAACACCCTACATAAAATATTTATAATGTAATCAATTTCAAAGAGAAACACCAAAAACACAAAATTTAAAATCTAGATAAACAGATAAATAAACTCACTCCACTGCGAATTATTTTAAGGAATTTAATTCCACCATCACGAATTCTCCCATCTTGGGTAAACAGGCTCTTCCACTGCTGAGGTGAAAGGACACGTTTTCTTTTCCTGCGTGACCATGGGGATTTAAGTCGACCCCTGAAATTTTGCCACAGAATTTCTCATTACTACTGATTGTATGTTTTTTAAAATAGAGAATAGGCAGGAAACAATCATTGTAGGGGAGAGAACAAGCACACAAAAATATTCTTCCCAATAAAAAGAACATCACAGTGCTGCAGTGTGACAGATAAAATTTTTCCCGCCAATTGTGAATTTCCTCTTTTCCAATGGAAAAGTTGAGTAAACATATATAAGTTTTAATAATATAAAGATACAAACCTATGTGCATGACATTCGGTCACAATACATTTTCATTCCATGTTTGTGGATTCTCAATTAAAATGTTTTTATGTAGAGCGATCTTATTTCCTTAATGCTAAAATAACTAAACGCATTCAAAGCAACCCACATATTGATAGTTAATATTGTAATATCAAAGGTATATGTTTACTAATGAAAATGAACTACCTACTTTGAAAAGCACAAATCTACTTAATTTAACTATGGAGTTTTTGGCCAAGGAGAAGTTAAGGACTGACTTCAATAATACTACGTGTTTTTTACCTTCGTGTATTGCTAAATTTGCACAACACGACCTTGGAAAATTTTGTATAATTTTTTAACTAGTACTTAAATAAATCACTATTGCAAATAAAAATTTATGGGCATGCAATTCAGAGAAAAATGAGGAGGACATTCAGAAAATTGCCCTTGAAGACTGGATACATAAACATCTTTGAGATATACCCCGAAGAAAATCCAGAATATAAAGGCCTCAAAATTTTTCTAGTTTATTTAGCTGGTTGATTGGAAGACTACGACTATAATATACTTTCTTAAATCTTCTTAGACGTAAAAAATTTAATTAGGTTCAAAACATATATTTTTTCAGTCTCCAAATGAACACACTAAATACACTCTAGCACAGATTCCTTTCCAGCTCAGGAAGAAAGAGCAAGATAAACAGTTTTGATATTCGATCAAGATCACCATTAAGTTACGTTTTCCCTGAGCAAGGTTTTGACATGCTTTTGATTTGACATGCGAAACGGAATAAGAGGATATAAATAGTTCAATCCAAGTGGACTGGAACTTCAGACTGAAGAAAACTCACCAACACAAAAGAAAAATAACAATAACAATAACACCCCCACCACACCACAACCAATAACGAGATTTGTCTCCCTCTCACTGTCTCGTCCTCATAAACCATTTTTCTCCTTTCATAGAAAAACCAAGATTTTTTTTTAATTCTTAGAAACATTGTAATTTGAACAAATCTACCAATTAACCAGTAAAATACACAATCCGACCTAAATGCTGCCAAAGAAAGAGACTCAAAACAGGAACATGGAAGCTGACGCACAAAAAACGAAACACACAATCTGATCAACCTAAGCTGACACTGAAAGCAACATTGGGGAAGCCCACAAGTGGAGATCTGGCACGAAATAAACAATAGAAAAAAGCTAATAAAAATCGTAGCGGTGAATAAAAACAGTTTAAAAATTGAAGTGAGAGAGCAAGAGGATAGAAAAAGAATTCACCGATCAGAGGACGAACAAGAAGCTGGTGAGGAAGAACTAACAACGAATAGAACCGATCGCAAATGGATCCACGACGAAGACGACGACGATGAAGAAGGAGAGGAATTCGAAGACAACGAAGATGAATTGTCACTTCGTCTAAGGGGATTCATCTGTAAATTCCTTCTATGTACACTTTAAGTTTTTGGTTTTTCCCCTTTCAGTGTAACAAAATCGGAATAAAAAACAGTGTCACCATATAGGCCTGAACGAGCTAGGGTTTTCACGATTGCTATGCTCTCTCTACTTTGTTCATTTGAGAGGTCTTCGGTTTTTACCTACTGACACCGTAGAAGATGACGGCGACGATAGCGAGGCCAGCCAAGGCAGTGAAGAGCACCGCCGGAGTGGACGCCGACGCCGCCGCGGCCATAGCAGAGAACCTGGCGCCGCCGGCGCCGGAGATGAAGAGAGTGTCGTTGTTCGAGTGAATGAATACAACCATGGAGGAATTGAAGTTACCAAATTACCCTTTCTATGATTCCACTGTTTTCTTTTTCCTTCTGAGAAACTGGTTTGAGAGATAATAGAAACAAACCCTTCACAATCTCTCTCTGAAGTGGCGCACACAGCCACTGCAAAGAGAGAGAAAGGAGTGAAATGGAAATAGAAAAGAAGAGAATCGCTATTGCTATTGCTATTTGCAAAGGATGAAAATAAATCTAATCTATGCTTAATGTAAACGTTCGTTCAAAACAGCTTTGTGCTTTTTGCTTTCATTGCAGAGAGGAAGGGAGAGAATCAGAGAAAGGTGCAAGCGCGAAACGCTGCCGTTTCTATCCTTATCACAGCATTCAAACTTTCAAACTAACTAACTAATCTCACTCAATCTTCTAATTGGAGACGGAGGTTTCAATTAATCAATAAATTGCTTCTAATCTAATCCAATCACCGCATCAACCACAATCTTTTTCGGTAAGATAATTTACGAGTATGTTTAACAAAAAGAAAAATTTAGGCACAATATTATGAGTGTTTTTATATTATTTTTTTAATTTTAATTGATAAATAATAAAAATAAAAGAAGAGTATATAAATTTTATCTTTACTATAATTATCGGATAAAATAATTAAAAGTTAAAATGTTAGCTTAAAAAATGAAAGTTAATAAATTAATTGATTAAATTAAAAATATTTCATAAAATGAATTGTTAAATCATTTATAAACGTAAATAAATTTTTAATGTGACTCAAAGCAAACTATAAAAACAATAAAATTTTATTAAAAATATTATTATATCACAAACTTCTATACATTTGTGATATGGTATACAATAATTTTTAATAAAAATATACTATTTATTAAATTTTTAACCTGTATCTTTAGATATGTATTAAAAACTTAAAATATAAAAAACAAACAATGATATAATTAATTGTTGGATCAAACTTTAAATTTGATAATTATATATTTTTAAATATTATAAATTTTGTTTTAATTTATTTAAAATTATTTTTATCTTAAAATTAGATAATATGTTTTTGAAACTTTTGTTCTCATTTATAAAAAAAAATTAAATAACACTATATAGTATAATTAGTTTTTTGTTTTAATTTTGATAATTTTATATTATAAATTGTTAAACTTATAGATTTTCTTAAATAACAATATCTATAAATTGTATATTTTAAAATAATTTCTTTGACAAACGGCAATGCTTTAGTGTTTAACATAGGAAAAGATGTTAGGTTTTTATAATTGAATAAGTAAAAAATAGATTTTAAAAAAAATACTTTCAGTACTTTTAAGTAATTGATGAAAATAAAAAATGGTAGCTAAAATATGATTTTAAAAATTATTAATAACTACTAATTTTAATTATTTTATAAATTATTATTATTTTTATTGAAATTTTTTTTGTTTAGTAACATAAGGGATTAAGATCTCCTCATGTTACATGATCCTTATGTGTCTGTATTTTTATATTTTTGCTTTATATTCACTCCAAAAAAATAAAGAAATCTTAATCCGTAACATAAGCTCTTAGTTAATAAACAAGTCCTACCAAAAACACTTAAAATATTGCACTCTTTCATCATTAACAAAATTTATCATTTTATCTTCATGAAAACTATTAATTTCGGTTTTGATTTGGGGTTGATGCCCGGCTAGTCAAAATGAATCATTGACCATATCTCACCTAAAACCAATATAAAAAGCTTCTTTAACTTAATGATGATTGCAATTAAATATCAATTACTCGACTTAAGCAAATTATTACTTTAACCACCTCAAACTCTGTTTTAAACGTCAACTGTTATTCAACGCACATTTCAACTGTCTGACAATTTTATATCAATTTTATGAAGATGGATCATGCATATCGTATAAATGTTAAACACACCCTTTTATTAAAAGGGTTACAATGCTAAATGTGCATGAGAATATATACTTATATATGTTCTAAAGGATCAAAACAGCTAAATGAACTACTTTCACTAACTTAAATAGCACTCGCCATCTTGACTACTTCAATAAACTTCAAGTTTTAAAATTAAATTTAAGCAGCCAATAGTAACAGTAATTTATTAAAAAATTATTATACTTTTATATTTATAATATAAAAAATATGTTAGTTTTAATAAAAATTATTATTTTTAAATATTTAAAATCAATTATAAAGATTAAATTTAACGTATTTCTATTTTTATTTATGTTTATTTGTATTTTTGTTTCTCTTGATTTGAATGAGACATACTTTTAGTACTTCAAGTTTTATTTTAAACTATTTTTTCCAATTTTTAAAATTTATCTAATTTAGTCTCACGTCACTTTACTATATAAAAGTGTTTGAGAACTTTTATATACTCTTCAAAATCTTTTCATATTAATATTTTTTTATTTTATCTAAATTAGAAAGTTTTATTAACTTATTCTCTCTCTTATTCTCTCTCTCCTTACTCTCTTTCTTACCTTTAACTTCAACTCAAACTAAACTTTAAATTTTTATTTTTATTCATTTTTTATATAAATCGCTGTGTTTTTTAAACACTGCATGGTCATCATTAAATTTTAAAAAATAAAATAAAATCACTGTAATTTGAAAAATACTATTGTTTTAAGGTTTTTTTTTATTTGATGTATAGAAGTAGATATGACAGTAAAAATTATTAGCCAATCAAATTTAATAAAATCCAAAATACAAACTATGATGTATTTATTGTTATTTTCAAGAGTCTGTTTTTATTTTTATTACAATACTAATTTTTTGTGATTATATTAATAATAATAAAATTTTAAAAATCACTGGATGACAATCGAGACATAATATTGACAATAGACTCTTCCTATGAATTATCCTTCGTGTTCTAAAATAATTTTCTTAAACTAACGGTCATTGAATAATTTCACTAAATTTTAAAATAAATATGTATTAAAAACAAATAAATTTTAAGATACAAAATAAATTTATTAAAATGAAAAATATTAAAGAGATACAATAATTTAGTTCTTCACTTAAATTATTTTTAATTAATGTATTTTATTTTCAATCATTTTTATCTAAATTATAAACATATCGTCTATAAATTTTAACATTTTTCTTTTAAGAAATAGAGTTTTGCAATTTAAAAGTCCTCCATAACCTACAAATTAATTCAGACTAGCCTAGACAACTTAGATCAACAATATTAACCATTTTTATTGTTTGCTATGAAATTTTTGTACATTTTATATTATAAAAAAGAGGCATATAAAAGAGCTTATTCAAACTTTATGAAATAAAATTATTATTATTTTATAACTTTTAAATTATTTTAATAATTTATTGAAAAAATTATCAAAATATTTTTGAAGTGTTATCATAATAAATTTCAAATAACATACATGAATAAGATTTTATTACATATGTATTTAATTAAGTTGTTTGTTTAAAAGTATCTAAAATTCAGGACTACAACATGTAATTAAATTTAATTAAATAAATTTAAAAATTCAGTGCGCTAATTTAAGATATTTTTGTGTTCACACTTCACGGGTGAAATTATTTTATTTAACAAAAAAATTTATATTCAAACCTTATCGTGTATAATTTTTTAACACGAATTTTTGCTAAAAAAATTAAAAGTATGTCTTAATTTTTTAAAGGTGGGGTTCTTTGAAGTACTAACTGATGATTTTGTAATATTATTTTTCTAAAAATATAACAAAAAAAAGAAAAAGTATAATTGTCAATCGAAGTAACTGAAAACTGACTTTGAAATGTGTATACGAAAAAAAATGTTGTAGAAATATCAGTCAACAAAATCAGGCGCAGTGATTTTAAAATATCAAAAAGGAAATATTTAAGTGAGAAAAAAAAAACTACATCAAAGAAAATTTATTATATAAATCTATCCAACCCTTGGACAAATGTTGATACCTGATAAATTTTTCCCCGTTTGATTATCTTCTTTTATTATTATTATTTGCATTCAAAATTGTTGAATTGAACTGTTATGTATGAGATCAATCCTCTACTATATAATAAGAAAATTTTTCCTTCTCAAGTACATAGTTAAATTTGGTTATATTTCATTGTATTAATAACCAAATTATCAGCATTAAATGGGGTAAAATTTAATTGTTTTTAAAATATAATGTTTCAAAAGAAAAAGGAATAACATTATCTTGTTCTTGTTTTATTTTTTCATCAATTGCCGCTTTGAGATCCGACAATGGAAAATAAAAAAGTCTCCCAAAATGAATGTGTTGCCTTCCATAATTTGTCATATGCATACTATCTGCAATTCCATTGCTGCTATGAAGGCCTTTTGTTTGTTGGGCAGAACCATGATGCAACATTGTCATGATGAAGCTTTTAAAAATGGGACAATATTTACTTTATATATTTTTTATGTCAATTTTTAATTAAAATTAGAGTTATCTTTTGACAATTAATATCAACATTTTATATCCATTTTTATTATATTAATTTTTATGGTAAAATTTTAATTTTAAATAAAAATAATACAAAAATATCTAAAATATTTAGTATTGTATCTAAGTCTTATTTTTAGAAACATCACGTTTTCAATGCACAAATATTTAAGCTAACAAAAAAATTTAAACTTTTTTACTCTTTTTATATAAATCTCTTAATCATTAAATCAATAATATTTTTAAGATAATAAGTATAATATATTTTATTTAATATTTAAAATAATAATAATAAAGTATAAAAAAAATCTTACCAACTTTAACACGATGGCATATTTAAAAAATAAATGTGTTCTAGAAAAAAAAAGAATGTTCTTGGCATATTTAAAATTTCTTACCTTTTTGGTTTATAAATTTTATTAATTATTGAATAAAAATATTTTTTAATAATTTCAAGACAATAAATATGATAACTTTTATTTAATATTTATTTTACAAAATTAAAAAATTATTGAAAAGATACATAATAAAATATAAAAAAGAACCTTACCATTCATAGTAATTTTATCCCACTTTAATAAAATTACATATTTTAAAAAATAAATGTAGTCCAGAGAAAATATTATTGGCATGATATCTAATAAATTTAGTAATTTATAGCGTTAGTTATGAAGATAGGGCATCTACAGAGCATATTATTAAGTGTTTTGTTAATTTTAATTTTTAGATTAAATTTAAGCATTTATAAATAAAATATTATGAAAAATACATATTTATTATATTAAAACTATAAAGTATAATAATTTTTAATAAAATTTTATTATTATTAATTATTTAATTCAGTTCTCAGAGCTAAAGTGATTTTTTTTCCTTTTATTAATTGGGGTATTGACGTGCCATTGTAGACCTTTCTTGAAAAATGAGAAGTATGGAAAGGGGGAGAAAATAAAAAAGGGCACACAATCTTCTGAGGCAGTTTTACCTTTTGAATCTTTGGGTGTTTTGGAGGTCATTTTCGTCATCTACCACAATTATGAAAGAGATTCCAAAGAATAAGCAGCGAGTAGAGGGTTAGCCATGTCTTCTATGGGATAATTTAGATTTTTTTAATCAAATTACATAAATTAATAAAAATAATTAAAAATTAGTTTATTGAAAAATATTATAACATACAATTTTATTCTTATTTAACAGTCCAAGTCTTGATTGGGACATTTTTATAATGGCAAGGCAAAAGGTATTAACTTTAGTGAAAACCAGCAAGCTAGACTCCAAAACAAAAGGTGAAAAAATTTAAATACTTTATTACTAAAGTCTAATTATTGGATTTCAGGGAAAAAAATGTTATTTAAGGATATGCTCAAAATGAATAATGACAAAAAAATTTCACAACCTTCTGAGTACAATTTTCCTTCAGTTTTCTCCTTTATTCCCCTTTTACTTTTGGACCTTTTCATTTATGGACACACTCAAATTATAGAAACCCTCACCAGTTTGGTCACTGTGATGGTCTTACTATGCGGGCCGTGGCCGATGAATAAAGCTGGCATTCATGTTTATGGTAGATCACTCTGTCAAATAAGAACAGAATGTACTATTTGCAGAGACTACTACCAATTACCAGACACGCACTAGAGTGAAATTGATTTTAGAGTGAAATTTGAATAAACTATCAACTTCAAATGTAATACTAAAAAGTGGAATTCTTTTTAGATTCACGTTGAAACGATGAAACATGGATCCAAATTTATTTTAACAGTAATTATACCTTGTGCTTTAAATTATGTTTACAAGTATTTCAACATATTTCGAAACGAGCACTACATTGTTTGAGTCCCCCAAAATTGCATTGCCCATGTGCTCAGTGGAGGTTTATTGCTTACATTAATTAATGTTATTAGTTGTAATTTGTCGTGTGTGGATATTCTTGGAGTAGCTAGTAAGTTCAAAGAAGTATGTGTGTATAAGGTTTTCTCTTGAAATGTTGGCGATGGCAACTTAAGAATCAAGTCTTCAGATATGGGATCGTGGTTAAGCATCCCATTCCAAAAGCAAAGCCAAGACCATTTATGAGGAAAGGAAATATCCTCGGTCGTATATGGCAAATAAATTCATTCATACTCAGTTACGGTCTTAATCGAAGGAACCCATCAAGTGCATGTATAATAATAATATACAACACGTATCAGATACTAAAAAATCTTACACAAAATGGTTTGATTAAAGACGAGAGAGAGAGGCAGTCCAAGTAATTAAGATACGACAAAATTTATCTTAACTTTAAGGGTAAATAAAACCTTATTTTGTTTTATACTATATTACAAAAGATAATAAAATTATAAATAAGTTAGCTAGGAATAATATTTTCAATTTAAATTACAGATTTAGTTTTTAGTTAAATTTTAAATTAAAATTTCAATGAATTTAACATTAAGCTAACTTTGAATATTAGGACACTTTTTACTTTCCTTTATTGTTTTACTACTTCAACTAACTAGTTAGAATGTCCCCGACATGTAGTACATTTCATTGATATAATCATTTAATAAATCTATCCATCTCTATTATATATACTTGAGTCTTAACTGTTGATAGTGAGGTAACTAGTGATTTCACTCTCTCACATAATGTTACATGATCATATTTTGGTAAAAATATGCTCTCTTTCTTCACTTACATTAAGAATGTAACTTATTCTCTAGAATGAAAGTTTACAATCTTATTAATTTTTTTACGTTGTTACATATAATAGTCTATTTTTTAATAAAGAAATTATCTCTTTAATATAATAAATTATTTATTCTTATAATAAAAAATTTTACTCTTTTAAATTTATAAAAAAAATGTTAATATACTATTAAATTTTTATTTTTTTAAAAATTCTTATAACTTGTAATAAAAAACATTCACGTTAATTCTTAATTTTTTGGTAAGTATATTAATTCCTAATTTATCATAAAAAATCGTTCTATAATAATCTAAAACAAAATAAAAGATTTGCTAATCCCATTTTCAATTTAGATTACATTATTGAAATTCTTATAAATGACTTAATAAAATTACAAAGTTGAGAATTATTTGTACATATTTAAAAAAAATAATAATAAAATATAAGCAAGTTAGTAAGAAATGGTATTTTCAATTTTAGATGTATTTAAAATTAAAATAGACTTTGAATATAAGGCACAGTTAAATTTGCTTTATATTATTTTACTTAAATTAACCAACTAAAATGTTATTAACTTACGTCCCACTACATTCATATGATCATTCATTAAAAAATATTAAGAACTTTTAATACTATTCTTTAATTAAAATTAAAATTTTATTTTAATAATAAATATTAACTTATAATGTTAACCTTTATTATCTAGATTATTTAAATAGAACACTAATTTGATTGATAAATAATGGGGGGAAAAAAACTAAGCGTAAATTTTATCAGCCGATGGAGATGAAGGCGAGAGGGATTTGGGATTGATATTCTTACGGTTGAGTGCGTTACCTTTGAAGCAAAGGGTTGGGCTGTTAAGCAAAGCGGCGTGGTTAATTTATGTAGTGCTAATCAGTACCCCAAAAGGCACAAGCAACAGAATATACGGAAGATATCCCTTGAACCCACACAGGAGATGCAACTTGGTCAGCAAAAGAGTCAAAAGGAGTCGCGAGTTCAGATTCAGTCAAAAAGGACAACATTCATAATTGTCGACAGTATTTCAGCCTCTTCTAATGGTTACATGCACCAACCCACCCCTGCTTTTCGCAAAGGTGCTCCGAGATGTGTCTCAAATCAGAATTAAAAAAAGAAAGAAAAACAAAGAAAAGGAAGGAGCCAACGTGAAAAAAAAAAAAGAGGAAAAAGAAAAGGATGGCATCTAAATCTAGCCAACTTCAATCCCACATTAGCCAACATTGTCCAAACTGAGCCTTGTAAATAAGCAGTGGCAAGTTTCAGTAAGCAGCAGGCTTCGCTGTAATATAAACTCAGCATGTGCAGTACTTACTTTTAGATACGGAGGAAAAGTCTGGCAGCTTCAAAGTAAAGATCTTTTGACGATATTATAAACTAGTTTGCTTATGCATCAACTGTAGTCAGCGGAATGATGTGTCTATTTTCATTTTGTCATGAAGGGTAACCACCAAGTTATGGGCATCATCCAACAGCTTCCAAACATCAAGGTGTCCTGACATGCCATTGCATTCCTTAATGATCTCGTCCATGCTGCTATATTTCTCAATAATCAATTTCCTCTTCTGTAAAACGGAAGCAGCTATTGCATAAAGCAGTAAATCGTCCGTTGGCGGAGCACGCTGCCTAATTCTGCTCCATGCAGATTTCCCAATACCTGCCCTGATAGCCGCTTGATCAGCCCACATTACTTCCCAAAGGCAAAGAGTCTGTTCAAATGTCAACTCCCTTCTAAACAATACCACCACCATCCTATACACAAAAAAGCAATCCTCGGCCTGTAGCTTCTGCAAATGCCTAAACAGGTGGGCATCCTTAAACTTGATAATTTTTGCTACTATATCAAGTTGCCTCCTAATACCCAACTCATCAAGCCTGAAATTCTGCCGAGCCTTCTTCATGAATCCAACAAAACACCAGAAAGCCTCGTGATCTTCAGATACAACACTAACTATAGGAGATAGCAGATCACTCATACCCTGGCAGTAGCCAATTTCAGGGTCATATAGAGCATATGCTTCAAGAATAGCAACTAGTCGAGCAGCATGGAAGATTCTACTGGCATCTAGGTGACCGTAATCCTTCAAGCCCACAGCCTCGGCAGACCGATGTGCCCTACTGTCTGGCACAACAGCTTGAGAAGGGGAGTATGGCATCCATTCTGCATTGGCACGTACTGCATCAAGTCGGATGATTCGTTGCCATGTAGCAAAATCTTCGTTACTCCATAGTTTTGATGGGACTTTCATTTGGGAGGGAGAAGAATTTTCCTTAGAAGTTGTCTTGGAATTGTTCTCTTCCTGACCATCAACAGAAGGAAATGTTTGAATTACCTCAGGACCTTCCGAGGAGTCTGAATCAGTGGAATAGGTATCCAGCACAGAGGCATCAGCATTGCTGATATTAGGAGCATCATCTCCTTCCAACAGGGCACCAGATGGATCATCTGAATATTCAACATCTGGGCCCCGTTCCTCACTGGATAGAGATTCTCTGGCACTCGTTGCATCTTCTGAACTTGGAGAACCATAATCTTGAATAATACTGCCACCATCTCCTTCGTAGCTGATTTCACCTACTTCGTTTAACTTAAATCTCCCATATCTGTGCTTTAGCAGTTGCCGGCACTGTCTCCGAAGTTTCTCATACTCCTTTCTGTGTTCAAAGATTTAGCATAAAAGTAACATTATGTTAAACTGAACGGAAGAGAGAAGTACAAACAAAATAAAGTTTTAAATACTGGATAAACACAATGGATCAAGCATGGATTTCGCAATCCAACATATATACTTGCCTATTTTGAATCCTTATAGCTTCTCTTTCCTCTTTGGTACTGTCCAAATCATAGCTGTTTAAATGAATATGTAATCAGTAACCATATAAAAGTTTATCACTCCAAATCAAAACATACAGGAAAGAACAGGGAACAAAATTCTAATGACAAAATAAATAAAGCAGAAGGTAATCAATATCCTTCCTCGTGCACAACATGAAGCAAGGTATCAGGTCATGCCAACCAGGCAATGCAGCACAGACACTTGTAAAAATCCAAAAGAGGAGCAATACACTTCAAATACTAATGGGAAATTTCAAATTGCTCCATGTGTCTATCTAAGGTTCCGTAATCCATACTTTCTAGATCCCATGTATGTAAGAAATTAAATATTAATCATTATTTAAAGGGTTGTGCAAGCCAGTGCCCTTAAAGCATTGGTTAAGGAATTGAAAGTGGAAACTTTCCGTGGGAATTGTGTTGGGTATCATAAAAAATCATGGAGGCGGTATATTGATTATTTTGACAAAAAAAATTGCACTTTTAGTTACTTGGCCCACTAAGGGAACTGGTTAAGCATTTTCTTTATTTCAAAATAAAAAATAAAAGATAACATTCTTACACTCCAAGTAGGAATGGCCAAACTTCAGCTCTAATACTAGGATCAACACCCTGCATCAAATATTTATAATGTAATCAATTTCAAAGAAAAAGACCAAAAACAAAAATTTAAAATCTAGATAAACACATTAATAAACTCACTCCACTGCGAACTCTTTTCAGGAACTTAATTCCTCCATCGCGAATTCTTCCTTCTTGAGTAAACAAGCTCTTCCACTGCTGAGGTGAAAGGACACGTTTTCTTTTCCTGCGTGACCATGGTGATTTAAGACGACCCCTGAAATTTTGCGACAAAGAAATATTCATTACTACTGATTGTCCGAGTTTTAGAACAGAGAATAGGCACCAAACAATCATTTTATGAGAGTGAGAAAGTACACAAAAATATTCTTCCCAATTAAAAGAGCATCACAGTGCTGCAGTGTAACAGATAAATTTTTTCAGGCCAATTGCAAATTTCTTGTTTTCCAATGGAAAAAATTGAGTAAACATATACAAGTTTTAATAATATGAAAATACAAATCTATGTGCATGACATTCGGCGTAGATTTCAAACAACATCATTTAATATTTGCTGATTATGGAATAAAATGCTTTTATGTAGAGCTACTTATTTCCTTGATACTAAAATAATTAAGTGCATTTAATGCTAAAAACCTACAACTTCATAGATAATATGGTAATATGCAGCCATAAATTTACAATTGAAAAATGAAAATAAACTACATCAAGTTTGAGAATGATAAACCTATAATCACATATCAGCAGAAGGGGCACGCGAGTTAAGCCATCCTGACCTGACTTTCAGTTTTTATTTTTTCATGCAAGGCATTGTTTGTTCCTATTATGTAGGGGTTTATGGAGTCAGTCTTGTAGTGGTCAGGCTTAGTGGTTTATTGCAGTTATTTTTTAAATTATAATAATTCAGACCAGGCCCACTACACCCGGTTTTCAGAGTCAGTTAATTAGTTTTTAGGAAGTCAGGGGGTAATCCTAGTCTACATGAATTCCATGTTCAGTTTGTACTACAGTGGAATATAATTTCACAAAAGCTCTCGGGAGATTCTCCTTTGGCCATTAATTTCTCTTGGGATGAGATTCTTTCTCTGGGAAAATTAGTAGATTAATTCAGTTACTCAATAATTTATAGGATAAAATAAAAAATATTAAATTAATTCAACAATGGAGTTCTTGGCCAAGAAGCAGTTATGCACTGACTTTGATAATACATGTTTGTTGTTTTGTGTGCTGCTAAATTTACACAACACAGCCATGGAAAATTAAAACAGTTGATTCCAAATCCCAACCACAAGAGTACAGCATCATCACTGTTTGTTTAAATTTTTAACTTCTGTACTAAATTAAATTATTCTGAGGGAGGAAGGAACCAAACTATTCCAAATAAAATTTATGGCATGCAATTCTAAAAAAATGAAGACGGCATATAAAAAAGTGTCCTTGAAGACATCAATATCTCTGAGATATATAGCCAGACGAAAATCTAGAATATTAATCAAAAATGGTAATCCTCGACGCAGCAGGATGATTGACAGATTACGACTACAATATACTTTCTAATCTTCTTAGATGTAAAAAGCTTAATTTGGTCTAGAAGATATTTTTTCAGTCTCCAAATGCATGCACTCACTTAATATACTCTAGCACAGATTACTTTCCAGCTCAGGAAGAAACAAGCAAGATAAACAGGGGTTTTGATTTTGATATCTGATCAAGTTCACCATTCAGTTACATTTTCCCTAAGGGTGGCTTTGATATCCTATTTATTTGACATAAGAAATGGAATAAGAGGATAAATAGTTCAAAGCAAGAGGGAAGGAACTTCAGGTTGAAGAAACCTCTCTCTCTCTCTCTCTCTCTCTAACACACACACATACACACACACACACACACACACACACACACACACACACACACACAAAAGAATACCCCACCCCACCACAACCAAAAAAGAGATCTGTCTCCCTCTCACTGTCTCGTCCTCCTCAACCCTTCTTCTCCTTTCACAGACAAATCAGGATTCTTTTTTATTCTTAAAAACATCGTAATCCGAACAAATCAACCAGTTAAACACATAATAAGAGCGAAATGCTGCCGAAGAAAGAGACCCAAAACAGAAACATGGAAGCGCGAAGCACAAAAACGCAACACACACAATCTGATCAGCCTAAGCTGACACTGATAGCAACATTGGGGATGCCCAGAAGTGGAGATCTGGCACGAAATAAACAGAAAAGTAATAGAAATCTTAGCGCTGAATAAAAACAGTTATTAAAAAATTGACGTGAGAACAAGAGTATAGTAGAAGAACTCACCGATCAGAGGACGAACAAGAAGCTGATGAGGAAGAAGTGACAACAAATAGAACCGATCGCAAATGGATCCACGACGATGACGACGACGACGATTGCGACGACGATGAAGGAGAGGAATTCGAAGACGACGAAGATGAATTATTACTTCGTCTAAGGGGATTCATCTATAAATTCCTTCTATGTACACTTTTATTTTACTTATTTGTTTCCTTTCAGTGTAATAAAATCGGAATCGAAAACAGTGTCATCTAGGCCTGAGCGAGCTAGGGTTTCGCGATTGCTATGCTCTCTCTAATTTGTTCATCTGAGAGCTCTACGGCTTTTACCTACTGGCGCCGTAGAAGATGACGGCAACGATAGCGAGGCCAGTGAAGGCCGTGAAGTGCACCGACGGAGTGGACGACGTCGCCACCGCGGCCATAAGGGAGAACCTGGCGCCGGCGCCGCCGGAGATGAAGGGAGTGTAGTTGTTGGTGTTGAAGTGAGTGGATACGACCATGGAGGAGAAATGGTCCGTAATTACCAGAATGCCCTTTCTATGGTTCCTCAATTTTGTCCTCCTCAAGAGAAACTGGTTTGAGAGAGAATAGAAAAGCCTTCAAAATCTCTCTGTGAAGTGGCGCAACCACCTTAAAGAGAGAGAGAAAGAGAGGAGTGAAATGGAAATAGAAAAGAAGGAAAGGAAGAGAGGGGGGAACAAGAATCTAATCTATGCTAAATCTTCAAAACAGCTTTCGCCCTTTTGCTTTCATAGCGGAGGGGACTCAAGGGTGCAAGTGTCAAACGCTGCCGTTTATTTCCTAATCACATCATTCAAACTTCCAAACTAACTAAGCCATCTTTAATAATATTTGTTTTTGGCTAAAAATTTGTTTAAATTTAATAATACAAGTATAATTTATAATAAATTCATTATTTATTATAAAAAAGATAAATTATATAACAATTTATCATTAAATAATATTTTTTTAATATTGTCGGGTATTTTAATTGGTTCTTAATAAATTGCCTACTAATACATTGCAATAATTGCGTCAAAAAACTTTATCTCAGGTAAGGCAATTAAATGTTGCATACCTGAAGATGTTTGTGGTTCGATTTAGTTTAATTTTTACTCAAAAATTATCTAAATTATGCATGAAAGTAACATGTGGTATGATTTGCTTCAATTTGAATATATTTTGAAAATTGAATAGTAAAATATTGATTTGAATAAATTTTATTTATGTATTATTAAATTATTTTATTTAAAAAATATATTTATTATTATATGACTTTTAATTTATTGTTTAATTTAGAATAAGTAGTAGCTCAAAAATTAAATGAGTATGCAACAAATATAAAAAAAATAGAAAAAAGTATGTTTAAAATAATAATTTTTTACAAAATCATTGATAGAAAAAAAAATGAAAGATATTCAATTGTGAAAAATAAGAATCTAAAATAAATAAAAGTGATATACAATATATTTATACAATATTATGATAAAATTGAGTAACAAATTATTTATATTTAAAAATTAATATAAATTTATTATAAATGTTATTCAGTTCGATTTTAAGAATTAAATTCAAAAATTAAATTGAACTGCAACATAAAATACTATTTTTTATTTTATCAATTTTCAATTTTTAAAATTAATTTAGCAGTTTAAAAACACTTGCGTTGGTTCACTCGTGTAGTTTCTTTGGCCATTGTGTAGACAAGTGATAACTGTAATAATAGTAATCAAAGTGATATTTAGAGGTGTAAATAAGTTGAATTCAAATTAAGAAATTAAAGTTTAAGATTGGTTTGTGAAAAAAAATGCTCAAATTTTTTAAATCAATTAGATTTAAAGTTTGAACTTAATTAATTTTTTAAAAATTTTAACTTGATTTATTAGCTTGTTTATAAATTTTTTTAAAATTATTAATAAATTTTATGAATTTAATATTTAATAAAAAAATTAAACTAGAAATAAAAGCAAAATAATAAAAAGATGTATTTTTATATACATGCAAAAAAAATTAAGGTTTAAGATACCTTTTTATTATAAAAATTTAGATAAATAATATACATAACAACAATAATATAATAATATAAATTTTAATTTAATATAATAAAAAAATTATAATTATTTAAATACATGTGTATATATGTGTGTGAGAAAGAACTCATGAGTAATTATTATTATAGTATTAATAAAAATGATAATAATTATAATAATAGTAGTAATAATAGTAATTATAGCAAGAAATACTATAATTATAGTAATATCAATAGTATTAACAATATTAATAAATATCACATTATCAATAACCAACAATAGAAGTAGGTAAGGCAATTTTATTTATATTAAAATGAATTGAAAACAAATAACAACTATATTTATTTAATTGAAAGAGGAAGCTTTAAAACAATATTTCATTATTTCTTTATACTGTATTTTTATTTTTTGTTCGTGTCCAATTAAAATGAAGTTCCACAGCATCTTCTTCCAATTCAACTCGCGCTATTCCTACAAATTTCATAAATTAAGGAAAGGGATGTACTATTAAAATTTTACTTGAATATATCATAGAAAAATTTCTGAAATTAGTTTTTAAAGTTTTTTTTAGATAAATTTCAAAATAAAACTCATAAATAAAATTTTATGTAATAAGATGTTACTTAATATGCATAAAATTAAGTTATTTATTTGAAAGTATCGAAAACTGAAGACTATAATAGTTAATTAAAATTAATGAAATAAGTTTTAATAATTTTATAATTTATCATGTGTGTGTATTGTACCTTTGGTATTTGACTTTTAATTAATAATTGTAGTTCTATATTTTATCTTATAAAACACGCTCTTAATTTCGGGGAGTCATTGATTAGGACAACACAATAATAGTAATTGGTAATTAATAACCCAACTCAAACATTTAATGTACCGTTAAAAACATGTTGAATTTGTATATATATAACACCAGTCCACCACCGACTTGTCCAACTGAATTTCATGTCACTTTTGAAAACATGTGGTTATGTAGTTGCTCTGTAGTTAGGTTAAATTATACTATAAGATTTTTACTAGTTTTATGCAATTAGCCAGAATAATATTTTGGAATTGCAGGCCTAAACTTATTGGGTGGGGTTCTTTGAACTACTCATTCATGATTTATTTTATTTTGATTTTCTGAAAAAGAAAAGACAAAAGGACAAGTATAATTGTCAACTAAGTAACTAACAACTGACGTTGAATTGAGTATACCAAAAAATATATGTTAGAAAAAAAAAGATTTGATAGAAATATTAGTCAACAAAATCAGGCGCAGTCATTATAAATCATCAAAAGTAACAAGTGAAGTGAGAAAAAAAAAACATTTAGATCAAAGCAAATTTATTATTTAAGAAAATTATAGTATTTATTTAATTTAAAATTCCAGTCATTAATTTTAATATCTGATTAATTTATTATATAAATCTATTCAACACTTGACAAATGTTGATAGCTGATAATTTTTTCCCGTTTTATTATCTTCTTTTTTGTGGGTTGTATGTTAAAATTGTTGAATTGAACTATTATCTGTGCAATGTACGAGATCATGCAGTCCTCTAGTTTAACGAGTAAACTTTTCCTTTTGAGGTGCATAGTTAAACTTGGGAGAATGATAGTTAAATTATTGTATTATAACCAAATTATCAGATTTAATTTAAAAACACAAACTTTCAAAAAGAAAAGGGAAAACATCATCTTCACAATCTCCAGATTTGTTTTTGTGTCTTTCTTTTTTTCTTGGAGGGTACTTGAGAGGATATGATATTTCCTATTACAATGGGCTCCATATTTTTCCAAGTTTATTGTTTTGCCATCAATTGCCACTTTGAGATCCGACAATGGAATATAAAAAGAGTCCCTCAAAATGAATATGTGCTGCCTTCCATAATTTATCTTATGCACACTATCTGCAATTCCACTGCTGCTGTGGAGGCCTTCTGTTTGTTTGGCTAGAACCATCCAACATTGTCATGATGAAGAAGCAGCTTTTAAAAATGGGACAAACCTTAGATACATTCTTCTATATTATTTTTTCTTTAAAATTATAGCTTTATTTTGATAATTATTTTTAACTTTTATATCAATTTTATATTACAATCATTATTATTAAAGTAAAAAAATAATTTAAAAAATATAAAATATTTAATATTATATTTTAAATTTTTCCTTTTCAATACAAAATAAGATTTTACTTAAAAAATCTGAATAACATTAGATATAATTCTTTATTAAAATAAAACTAATTTTAATTAATAAACTATACTGATGCTTAAATAAAAGCATATAAATTTTGTCCAAATTGACAACTCCCTGTTTTCTGCATTAGCGGCAACAGTGGCTATGACAATATCAACCAGAGAGCATCAAAAGCATTATTAATTGAGTTATTGACGAGCAAGGTAGACACCTTTCTTAAAAAATGAGAAGTAAAGAAGGGGTGAGAGAAAAAAAGAAAAGAAAGGAACAATCTTCTGAGGCCCATATGTCTTACCTTTTGAATGTTTCATGTTTTAGAGGTCCTTTTCATCATCTACCACAATGATGAAAGAGATTCCAACGAGTAAACAGTGAGGCCAAAGGGAGCATTGTCTTCTATGGGATAATGACAACACCACCATGCCAAGGGTGTGTCGTAAGTATTGCCCTCTAATTACAACACTGCACTCGCTGTTATCCTAAAGCATGGCCTTAATTATGTGTAGTGATTGCAGTCAAAACTTATAATGATGAAGCGGTTGTTTTGGTTTTTAAGCAAGTCCAAGCCTTGATTGGGACTTTTTCATGCTGGCAAGGCAAAGGGGTATCAACTCTGTGGTAAACCAGCTTGCTAGACTACAGAAACAAAAGGTGAGAAAATAATACGTTATTAGCTAAGCCTAATTATTGGATTTCAAGGAAAAAATGTTATTTATGGATATACTCAAAATAAATAATTATTTAAACACGTAAATTAACTAATAAGAGTGATCTCAAGTTCAAATATCGATAAATATAGTTATCTTAAATATTCATGTGGACAGTAAAAAGTATAATTTTCCTTAGGCTCCTTCTCCTTTATTCCCCTTTTACTTTTGGACCTTTACATTTATGGATATGCTCAAATTATAGAAACCCTCACCGGTTTGGTCACTGTAATGGTCATAGTATGTGGGCTGTGGCGGATGAATAAAGCTGGCATTCATGGTAGATAGATCAATCAGTCAAATAAGAACATAATGTGCTATTTGCTGAGACTCCTTTACCAATTACTACTAGGCATGCACTAAAGTGACATTAATTTAATACCAAAAAGTTGAATTTTTTTTTTTTTTGCAGGAGAGGATGAGACCAAAAGGTAAATTATACATCAAGCAAAACATTTTAAAATGTTGTGTGAAAAATTCATCTTCTTGGACTAACCATTCAATTTGCATGCAAATTGCAATATTAAAGACACCCATTTGATAAAATGAATGCAGGATTAGAAACCAAAGTACACTTTACATGGAAAAGGAAGGTGTACAAAAACCAATGTCATATAAAACCACAAAAACATAAAATGTTGTGTGAAAAAAATTTAAAATATGAAATGCGAGGTAAGGAGTACATTGTATGCGTCCCCCAAACTTGCATTGCCCATGTGCTCAGAGGACGTTTCTTGCTTATATTAATTGATTTTAGTAGTTGTAACTTGTCGTGTGTGGATATTCTTATAGTAGCTGTTAAGTCCAAAGCCCAAAGAAGTATGTGTGTATCTATGGTTTTGTCCTGAAATGTTCACCATGACAACTCAAAAAACAAGTCTCCAGAAATGAGTTCGTGGTTAAAGCACCCCATTCCAATTGCAAAGACAAGACTATTTATGAGGAAAGGAAATCTCCTCGGTCGTATATGGCAAATAAACTCATTCATATTCAGTTATGTTATTAATCGAAGGAACACGTGTTCATACAGTCTCTTTGAAAAAACGTTAAAAAATATTTAAACATAGACTTCAGGCAAAAACTATAACTAGGAAGGTTGAAATAAATGAAAATTTACATGCATCATACGTAAAACCAATCGCACCAATATTATTACATGTGCATTACTAAACAATCTTTATACAAATGATTTGATAAAAGGAGAGAGACACCACTTGTAATTAAGATAGACTTTTTAAAGTAAGTAAATATAATATATTTGCTGTTGGTTTAATTTAACTGTTGCTTTAATTTAAAGTTTATCTTAATCATGACGTTTTAGGGTAAATAAATCCTTATTTACTCAGTTTGGAAACAAAATTACTTTTCAGTCTACAGTTCCTTTTAGACTAAACACTCAATTTGATCTTTGAACAAAAAAAATCAATCTAAGGTCTTCAAAGACAATAAAGTCACTAAATAATTTTTCAATATTACAAATGCGTGATAATTGAGAGTCCTATCATTTGTTTAAGTTAACATTTTTAGGTGCCAATTAAGGTCACTAAGGATTGTATTATGAACTTAGGTCAAGGTTCACGTTTTTAGAAATTAACGATGCACTAAAAATATTTAAAAATTGATCAAAAGATTAAACTATCTCTCTTTATAATCTTGAAGAATTATTTGATAATTCTAATTTTTAAAACCACTGCCTGATTTTTTCAATAGTAATACTTGATAGTACGAATCGTCTTTTTGTTTTTTTTACTTGTTATTTAACGAAACAAAAAGTATCCATGCTGATTCGTACTCAATTCGTATTGAATTTTTTCGTACTAAATAGCGTGACTATTTTATTTTTCAATAACCAAGTTAGCTATTTACTTTTAAGTATTCTAACAATGCGAGGAAAGTCTTGTACAGGCATTATCCGATGCCTCTATTGGGTAAATTGTCGGGTAAATTAAGCAGACTTTGTTTTTTTGTCAGAAAAAAATAAACAATCAAACAACCAAATGAGGTGCAAATGGGTTTGAGGGAGCCAAAACCAAGTACTCCTTTTGCCATGATCTGTCTAAGGGATTCAAACTTGTGTTAGCTTAGCACCTTGTCATGGTTTAGTCAACAACTAGAGAAGTTAAAGAATACAATTGAGAGGCAAACGAGGTTGCTCTTTTGTGGTGGTATATACAATTATAAATTAAGCAGAACTCAGCACAGGGCCTGATTGTTTCTCCCTTACAAATCATGACTAGCCATATTGAAAATTTTTAACAATAAGAAATCATGTTCACAAAATGGTTTTCATGCATTGGTAAGTGCATAAACTTGGGTTGAAGGTCAAACAAACAGGCATATAATTGTTAGATAGTTAGATGACTAAAATTTTATTCTTTATAGTTTATATGAAAAATGTTTGGTTAGCAGAAGTAAAAAACACATTAGTAATTTTCACTCCTTGAAATATACTTTGGTTCACATCGAAGAGAGAGAAGGGTTACCTTTTCCTGTGACTTACTTCTAGCCTGTTTATTTTAAAGTTATGTTGGCGCTGGGGAAGCTTCCCAACAAGCATCTTTGTCACATGAAGTTATCATTGATTAGTTTTCATCCGATTCAATTTCTCACCTTGATTTCTCGGCTCAGTAATTTTCTTACCATAAATTATAGTATAATCCTAGTGCCTGTTTCAGAAAGCCATGTCCCTAGAATACGGTAGCGTCATATACAGCACGCAACCGAAAAAAAATTCCACGTGAAAGTACCAAGGAACGTGTAGGGGTCAATACATGGCACTGATTGCGGGAAAGGACAATAAAAGAAAGACGATTAACGTAAAGTGATTATTCGATTCATTCAAATGACAACGATGGAACAATGGCATCAAAATCAAATGAAGCCATCCGTTGAAAGCGTCTCAATTTGATGGAAGGGTGCGGTTGCTCAACTCAAAGACCACACGAGGTGTCTGTCCCACACCCAAATGATTGGGCAGTAAATTGAGGGCGGAAGAATTTAGAAATTTTGAAGCAAAAGAACCTCATATTCCTTTTATTGCCACATAACACAAACAACCCTCTCAAGTGCTAACACTGTCACTGAGATAAGGAAATTCAGCACTAGATATGTGGTTCTCATACACAAACTCAATATTGCAAAGGTAAATACACTAGCACAACACATGCATCAACTAGCTTAGCTTCAGGATCTACAGCTTTGAGGCTGCACCTTTGTCTAGGAACCATTTTAACTCCCCTTCAGGTGCAACCAATGCAGCAGGAAGCTTAACAGAATTTTGAGAATCGCCTAATACAGAATGAACTGCATCAGTTTTACCACTACCAGTCACCACAAGTGCAGCATAAGCAGAAGAATTAATCACTGGAAAGGTGAATGTTATTCTCTCTGGTGGTGGTTTGGGTGAGTCCTTAATGAATGTAACCCATTTCTCATTCTCCTGCACAAGAGGATGCCCCGGGAACAAAGAAGCTACATGCCCATCGGGACCCATGCCCAGCAGCATGAGATCAAATTTTGGAAATCCAGTGGCTGATGATAAAGCTATCACATTGCTCTTGACCAAGTGTTTGAGACAAGTCTCATAATCATCGGCCGCTCCCTCAGCTGACAGTGCATCATTAATTGCATAAACATTACCCGGTGGAATTGGCACCTGCCAAGAGAACCGCGATGAAAGTACCAGCAGGTTAGATTAACAGAAAATTGTCCTAGCATGCGTTTGGATACACAAATTATTTATTGAGTGCTTATGAATAAGGTCTTTTCAAAAGATGTCTTATGCACGATGAAATCTATTGAGAAAAGCTAAAACAACTTATTTTGATAATTTATATCAAGAAACTTATTGAAATAAGCTACAAACAGCTTATGGGAATCATAAATTGTTTTCTATAAGCTTTTCATAAATTCTTCGAAACAGGCCATAATATGGCCATGCAGTCATTTTAGAGAAGACTACACATACATTTTTAGCCTGTGACTTGAAACTGATGACAATTCTTTTCCTCTCATAACATTTTATTAGAATGAGCAATATACTTAACGAACTTGTTAACATAACCATCCTATCCAACTGGGGATTCATTCGCCTGATCATCTATAAATACGCAATCTCTCCCTGAAATGCTTGGACTTGTCCATTCAATTTGTCCCTTAATAGATATTTTTATTTATCTATGATTCGGGTATGATATTGATTTCTTTGAATAGGGAAAGATCTTCATAGTTCCAGCCTTTGTCATCCTGAGGGCATAAAGTTGCACCCAACACCTTGAGACGTACGACACTTGAATAGAAAAGAATAAACTGTGGTGCCCTCTTCTTAGCAGAGAGAGACATCCTATCTGAAAACGCTATTCCGACCTCTGCGTCCCAGGGTTTCTGTAAAAGAAAAAGGATTGTCTTATCCTACTTTCTTTCCTACTTGACAGGCCAATTCATCAATTGACACTGAACGAGAATTTGGTCCATCTTTTAACTAAGATATCAACTGTACTAAATTCATTCCTTTCGCTGCTGACCATCAGAGTATATACGTTTTTGCTTTTTGGATTACTAAAAAACCAAACTGAAAGCATGGATGGCATTGAAGAGCTGGGATTGTGGATCTCTTAACATGTTCTATCAAATTCCAAAATGGGATTTTTATCCTCACATTGTACTGTTTTTACAATGGTTTCAACTTGAAAGAGATACACATGATGAACTAATATCCTTTAACCAAAAAAGAGTCTTGAAAACTGGAAAAAACGTTGAAAGCAAACAAATAATACCTTGGAGAGAAATCCATCAAAAGCAAGCTTGTAATTACTATCTTCATGAGTCTTTGGCACGACTCTCTCATCGACCCAAAACACGTGCCATTTGGCCCATTCAAGAGAATCAACATAAGGAGCTTCCAGCAATTTACTGAGATACCATCAGAAAACACATTCACATTAATGAACAATTATATTATTAATTAAATGGAAACTTTTATACGAAGAAGATATAACTGACCGGAGATAGTGAATCAACGAGCCACCAGACAAGCAAACGGTGAAAGCCCCTCTTTGAGAGGTGAACTTATTAGAGAGATCGGCGACGTATTTGGCTAGAGAGACGGCAAGGTCGTCTTTTTCGAAGACCTCGAAAGTAACGTTTTTGGTCCCTGCCATTGACGCTTTGAGCGGGGAAACAGGCACGTGGGGTTTCACGCGAAGCGCTTGAAAAGTGAGGGGGCGAAAGAAGAGATGAGTGGAGGGTGGATGATGGAGTTTGGGGTTTGGGAGTGATGCGAATGGGAATGGGAGAGAGTTAGAGAGGAAAAGGGATTGGGTGTAGGCCATGCTCTCTTTCTTATAACTCCACTCAAATCAAACGCATACACATCATAGTGCCACTCACAAAGTCGCTAGCTTTCTTCATTGTCTTGGCGATACCATCAACCTTCCTGGGTGAGTGCTTTCATTTCACCTCCATCAATTTTTTGATTCTTAATCGCGCATTCAGCTTCGTTTTAATTTAATTTTATTTCTGATTTCCAATAATTTACCTTGAATTCTCCTACAAAGTTAATGTTTTTCAGAAACTAAACTAAAATTGGAAAGCAAATAACAGAAAATAATTGAGGGGTTAGTAATGATATTATTGTTTATAGTATATGATGTGATGCCTACAACTTTATCGATATGATGTTCGAGGAGAAACTTATTCGAAATAATCTAGGGCACTCTTTGTGGTTGAGATTTGAGAAGAAAAGTTAAATTACTTTATTTTTCCTCCATTTCTACTGTAAAACAAGAGAATATGAGAATAATGCAATTCATTGTTTTATTTTAAGATTACTTTTTTATTTTGTGATTCGTGTATTTAAATGTAATTTTCCCTCTTTTTATAGTTAACTTTGTAAAAAAATGCATAATGTGTTTAAATTTAATTATTTTGAGATAAATAAATGTTTTTGAAATATTTATCAAGAAAATCTTAAAAGAACAATTATTTCTCAAAACTATGAAAAACTAAGCATGCATTCAATATTAATTATATTATAATTTATATTTTGTTTAATAAAAATAGCATGATTAATTTACACAGACACTGGACATATAATTTATGAAGAATTAATATTAATGATTTCATCGTATGAAAAATTAATCTTGATTATTTACCTGAGATCCCTTTCTGTTATATCGAAAATAATAGTAGTCAAAAAACAACAATCCTTTATAGACTTTCTAATTTATTTATTTTTATTCCGCATACTTATAAGTTAACACCTAATATAATTATGTTATTGGGCTACAAGGTCTCACTGTATGAAGGGTTGATGACCCCAAGAATCCTTTACAAGCCAGCCACTACAAAAACAACATTTTCTGCACTTTTTTTTGCTTTTAGAAAAAAAAATATATAATAGAAATAAAGTAAGATTATTTTTAGTATAGATTGTAAACTTATTTGAATATAAATAAATGATAAAAATAATATTTGTTAAATTTAATAAATTATAATTATATTTGTAAAAGCATATGTTTTACAAAAAATTATTATTTTAAATTTAAATTTAAAAATTTGATTTAGATATCATCTGATAAAAATATTACAACAGTAATTATTATCAAATATCTAAAATGTATTTATTATTTATCACTTTCTTTATAATTTAAATATTAATATAACTTAATTTAAAAATTATTATGTAAAATAAATATTTTATATGTATGCTATATATAGATATATTTATGTAAAAAAAGTTAAATAGTATGAAAATAGTAAAATATTTTTTAATTAAAAAAAAATATAAGATTTTATGTGTTTTATTTTATCAATAAATATATTATTATGCTAATCTTATAAATTAACTATGTACATATCTACTTCTGTTATATAAATATTTAAATTTTTATACCTATTTTTTAATTTAAATAATATAAATATTTATATTGTATTTATCAACTTCTTATTTTATAAATAAAATAATTTTAAAAACGATAATTATAAATTAAAAGCTAATATTATTAAAAAATAGAAGAATATGTTATTTAAAAAATAAAACAGTTTGACTTCATTACAGCATGTGATGAGTTTTTTTTTTTATAAATTCAATATTGTTTAATTATTAATATTAAAATCTTGATACAAAAATATTTTAAAAAATTAGTTAAAGTTTATTAATTATATCTTTTACATGATTTAATTCAAATTTTAATTTTTATATTTAAAACTAAATTAAAATAAATAAAATTACAAATATATTAAATTTATATTTATTTATTTATTTTATTATCGTATAAATATTAGACATTATTTTAGAATATATATATATATATATATATATATATATTATTAAATGAGTGTTGTCTCTTAAATAAAAAACTATGTATTAAGAAAATATTCAACATATTTTCTTATTAATTACCGTGTTTAATATATGACAAAACATTGTACATAAATTTTATTTATAAAAAAATTCAAAACTCATCATCTCATTTTTACATATTTATTCTTTCTTTCTACAAAATCAAATTTTAATTCCTAAAGTTGTTTTTATATTTTTTTTTACATAAATAAAATTTGTTTTACATTGTTTAAAAAAATTAAATAATTATATTTTTATTTAAACTAGAAAAGATCTAACCTTATGTATAGATTCTTTATTCTTTTTACACATAGCTATAAGAATCTAATGCCCGTGGTAGGACTCATGATAAAACTTTATTCCTGTTGCTACGGCAATTTTCTGTTTGGTAAGACATCTTTTTTTTTTTAAAACTAATTTTTAAAATAATATAAAAATAAATTACTATTAAGTATGTAAATAATCAACTTGAATTTTGTTTTAATTTGTAGTCTTGAACTATAAAAAAGGATTTCACCGCTTAATAATAATTTTACACAACTTGGCTAAAATTGTTTCTAATAGAAGATAGTTATAATTTTGACAAAAATATATAAAAATAAATTCAAGATAAATATAAGGAAAATTATATTTTTAATAATAGATTTTTTTTGTAATTGTTTAAAAATTTATAGTCTGTTTTTTTAAGCATCTAAATAAATACATAAATCATTTATTTATTTATTTATTCAAGTAACATGTGTTTTTATTTTTTTTTTCTCTCTTTCTTACACGACTTCGTCTAAATAAAGCTTTAGTGTATCTAACAAAACAAAAGACCGATTTCTTGAAAAACAAAAACTTGAAATTTTAATAAAAGGAACACAGTGACGAAACTTGTTGATACTGTTTCTCATCCAAGAAGGAATAGTTTAAAAATCAAAACTCACATGTCACATTGTCAAAGCCTTCATTCTAAGCAAGAAGTCATGGTACATAACTACTAACTTGAGCCTTGTAGTGTAACTACTTGACTAGGGTTTTGAATTTTATAAAATTTAAAATTAGTTTTATTTTTATAATTATAAATATTTATTTTCTTATTTTTAAATTTTAATTCTAAATTTTAAATTTCAGTAACATAAAATAAATTTTCTTTTTGAATCATATGTTAAGAATATAACAACGAAAATAAAAATAATGAAATAAAATAATAATAACAAGAATATTTTGACGACCATAATAATAATAATATAATATAATGACAATAAAATAAAATGATATAATAATAATATTATTATTATTATCACAACAATAATATAAATTTTTATAATCATAAAAATGATAATAATAATCATAATATTAATAGTAATAATAATAATAATTGTTAATAATAATAATTATTATTATTATAACAAAAATGATAAATTATAATTATAATTATTTATATTAAAAAAAGAGAAGTAAATGATTTTGTTTTTATAATTTGCTTTTAAACTTGAAAAAAAAAACATTTAGAATTGAGAGTTAAAAATTAATTTAACCTCATTTTAAGTTTAATATGCTCTATTTCAAATCTTACATTTAAAAATAAAAGGTTGAAATTTACAAATGATTCAAAACTAAGGATTTTTCTGCACACTACATGAATAATATTAAATTAAAAAAAATGAGGAGATATTATATAATTATTTAAATTTAAAAATATTTAAATTCAATATATTAATTATTATTAATAAATATTAGTTTGTAGTAATATAGACTAAATAAATAATATATTTTTTAGAATTACAATTAAAGAAAATTAGAATAAAAAAAGTAAACATTAAATTCATAATAAGCCTCGTAAATAGAAGTCCTAAAAATACTCTCATTGCTATTATTTAAATATAAGTCACATTATATACACACATTTAAGTAGATAGTAGAAAACCTTGAATAACTAATTACTCAATTCTTTAAAACCATTTTAATTTAATTGTTTCACTTAATTTTATGTCTTTAAATTTTCATTTATTTTATGTATATATTTCCTCACTTTCCATGTTACCTTTTGGATTTTAATATATGAATTTTTTAGTAGTTTTTTTTTCTTTATTTTGAAGTAGTTTACAATAAAAAATAATTTTTTAATGAATCATAAATGTCTTATTTTATTTTGGTTTAGACGTATTGATTTATTAATTAATATTTTACGTATATGCAAAGTAAAAATTTCACATAAAACATTTAAAATTTCACTTTATTCTCATGTTATAAAAATTTTTAGGCTAATAAATAATAAGAAATAAATTTTAAAATATAAAAACACGAAAAGTCTATAATCATACATATGTGATAAAAAATTAAAATATTTTAAAATAATTAAACTTGAAAAATTATATAATAATTTTAGAAAAATATTTTACACTACAAATAAATTTAGATATTCTAAACTTAAAAGATCATAATTTTTATTGTACATGACATAACAAAAAGATTAGTAATTAATTATCTAGAAATCTTGACAAATGACAAACAATAGAATTAGTTCGAGAATAAGATAATCTGGGTTACCAAACAAACTGCGAGTCCTAAAAAACCCTACTTAAAAATCTTACCCATATATAATGTTACAGAGTCGCAGAAAACCCTAGGAAGCAGTCTGGGAAGAGAGGGAAAGATGCAGATCTTCGTGAAAACACTAACCGGGAAGACCATCACCCTTGAGGTGGAGTCAAGTGACACCATCGATAATGTTAAAACGAAGATTCAAGACAAAGAAGGTGCGGTTTAATCGTAACAGCACGATTAATTGATTATCGTTCTCTTTTGTTCGCTCTTGTGTGATTCGTTTATGTTTTTCTCACTGTTTAGGGATTCCTCCGGACCAGCAGAGGTTGATCTTCGCCGGGAAACAGCTGGAAGATGGCCGCACCCTTGCCGATTACAACATTCAGAAAGGTCTGGACTATTCAAATTCGAAATTGTGTACTATTTGGTCATATTAATTGCTAGTAATAGTTTGAATGTGGTGATTGATTGATTTTCCGATTTTTATGTTTTGTGGAAATTGTATCTGGTCATATTTGTCTTTGAATGCCAATAACGTGAGTGTTTGAGTAGGTGAAAAGCTAGAACTTGGAAATTTATGATTAACATTATAGTCTATATAAATATGAGAACGTAAAATGGACAATTTTCAAATGCTTTATTTTATTGTGCCTGGCTCCAAGCTCTTCTGATCTAATTAGCTGAGCGCACCCATAAATTCTACTAATTACGCTCAATGATTCTAGTTTAAATCGTGAGCCTTATTCGATTGTTATTTCTATTATGCAGAGTCAACATTGCATCTTGTTTTGAGGCTTCGTGGTGGCATTATTGAGCCATCTTTGATGGCATTGGCCAGGAAATATAACCAGGATAAGATGATCTGCCGCAAGTAAGTTTACACAATCTATTTTGTAGAGTCAACATTGCATCCTGAATTGCAACTGCTACATTTTGTTCCATCTGAAGTATTGTTCATATGAAGTATGGTCAAAGGTGTCAAAAACTAGTACTGAAAATGCATAAGCAAGTCACTTATGGCTCATATGTTACAACTGGCTAAAGTTACTAGTTAACATCTAACCTAGTATAAAATGCACAAGTTTTTTTATGACACCTAAGTAACAATTAAAGAAAACAACCCAAATTTGAAGTCAACTTAATAAGGAAAATACTAACAGAGTAACAGAGAAGATGAAGAACAGGTGTGTGGGTCATAGTTGCCATTTAATATAGAAAAAGTACAGCCACTGCAGATTGCTGACTTCTCCAAACTGGTCTGGGCTTACACCCTGGCCACCATTGCTGTGTTTGGATCTGCGATAAATGGAGGCACATGCATGTTCTAAACAAATAAGCTACACTTGGTAGCATCAAAATTATGTATGTTTGGACCTTTTGCTACAGAGAGCCACAACCCACTATGTCTTAAGACCTATCTTTTGTTCTGGTGTAGCCCACCTCATTACACACCGCACGATTGATTTTAACTGCTTATGTTTATCTACTCATGTCCTGCATCTATTCATTCTCAATCACCATGTGTTGGTTGCAGATAGAGAGATGCTATTATATTCCTCAAGAATAATCAATTAACCAACAATGTTAGCATTATTTTTAATATTTGCGTAAAGTAATGAATGATCATTTAACAACAATGATCTTTTGAAATATATAATAAAACATAGATAAAAAAAATGTTTACATTATCCTTATTTGGCTTTTTCACCCATTCTCTCCCTTTATTCAGACAATAAAGAACCTTTCCATTTTTTCCTTATTTTCTCTTCTCTCCATTTTATTTTCTCTCAATTTTTTCCTGGGTCAAAACAACTGCTGAGGGCACCTTTTGCTTTTGACTTCATTAGATGCATTGAAATATTGATGTGCATGAATTTAGACTACGAGCAAGAATATTTTTGATAACCCCGAATATATGAACAGTAACAAGATCAATCAACTTTACCTGTGGGATAAGGCTTGGTTGTTATTGTTATTAATTATATATGTAACAAGTTTGACCTTCAAATAATTGTGCACTGCTGAAATTTCTTTTACAAATTCTTTCTTGTATGAAACTTGATTGAGAACTTAATTCAATTCAATGAAAGGAATGCTGTGCTGTGAAACAGGTAGTTTGAAAACCATGTATCCTATCTTGAAAAAAAGGAATGATAGTATTCATAACTACAGTTTCTTTTGAGAAGTGGTGCATGTTGTACGTAATATAAATATTAGAAAGCCCGTTTCATAATCAATAGAATAACTTAGTGTTCAATTGTCAATGATTGCTTTGAAAAAACTGCCGTATATGTTCAAAGCTGAAACTAATCTGTATTGCTATTGGTCTTTATAGTGTTAAGTCACGAGATTGTTCTTATAAATCATTGTGCTTTGCAGGTGTTATGCACGCTTACACCCCCGTGCTGTGAACTGCAGGAAAAAGAAGTGTGGACACAGCAACCAGGTATGCTAATTTATTAGCATTATCACCTGTGCTTATTTTACTTAATAGAATTTGTGTTATTATTAGAGCCATCATGGCATTTACTTTTTGTATTGCAGTTGAGGCCAAAGAAGAAGATCAAGTAAACTGTTCTGATTGCAAAAAGGAATTCCGTGTTATGGATTTCTTGTAATCCTGATTACTCCATTAGCTTATTAGTATTGTAGGGAATCTGTTGGAAATTTGACCGGCAAAATTACTCTGATTTTGGTTCAGTTTGAGACGGATTGGTATCAATTATGCTACAGTTCCATGTGATGACACAATTTTGTTGCTTTTGATAATAATTCGTGTGATGTCCCTATTTTTGAATTTTTATTCCTTTTTTTCGTTCTGACACCGCAAAGACCAAGCTCGATAGCTAGAAGTGTCAAGAAGTTTCTGGTTGAGTTTTATTACTAGTTTGCAGCGACTTGAGGGAAGAAATTTTTACGTTGATTTGCATTTGATATGAAGTTGAGTAGGTGCTCCAATTATTGTTTTCAATATAAGCAAATTGTTAGTCTTTATACAAAATTTCATTTAGCTAAATTTATTAAACTTTGTTTTTCTAAATAATGTATCAGTATAATTTTTAACAATGAAGAAATATTATCTAATAACTTATTTGTCGAAAAGTATAAAGGGCCATCACGACTTGAACTGAAATTTCATAGCATGGCTCAATAGGCACGTAAATGGTTAGTTTAAAGTCTGACACTCGCAATCAGAGTGATTTGGTATAATAATCTCTGCAGGACTAGTCGATACGAAAGGATCAATTTTCTGCTCTTTGCCTTTCACGATTCCAGATGATGAAAAACTGTGTCTCTTATGCCTTGTCAGTCCGTACCTTGTGCTGGATCTTCGCTAGATATATTATCTGTTAAGAATGTCAAGTCACGTAAAACACTTGGATATTTGCAGTTCTCTTTTTATTTTATTTTTCCGTTTAATGTTAAATGGGATGATATCTATACCTTGTTTGGAAAACGTTTTGGATCATTTTGCGAGGTGAAAACATTGTTGCATACTCCAATTGAAGCATCTCGTCTGAGGAGAGGCGCCAACCAAGAGCACCCAAATTTTCCTTAGCTTGTTTAATTGATTTGACTCCAGGAATTGGAACTGTACCTTTGCATATGCACCAATTTATAGCAACCTGACATGATAAAGCAGCAAAGAATGAGATGATAATAAGCCAATAAGGTGTGTTGTTCAGGGAAGGTTGGTCAGAGTAAGCATTGTCATTCGTCACGCACTTAAGACAAGGACAATAAGTGGATCTGTCGGTAGTTGTGTAAAAGGGAACTTTAGAACCTTCAATAAAGTTGCGTGGGCGAGCAAGGCATTTAAAAACATTAAAAGTTGGGTTCTAAGGTGGTTGATCCTGATAATGAAGCAACAGTAGTTCTGATGCTATTGCTGATAAGATGCGGGAGTTCCTTTATGACACCAGATATCAATGATGTATAATATCCCATAACCCTTTAGTTGAATAATAGGTCCTTGACCATCTGTTATACTAAAATTAGTGAATAAACTTTCAATTTGATTGCGTGTAACAAATTTTTTTTTAAATGTTAAAAATATATTAATCACTAAATTAAGACACTATCAATAAACGGTAATAAAATGCCGACATGTTGCATTTAAACTAACTTGTCATTATTACGAAGTTTTCCTCTTTTTTTTTTTTCATTAAAGAACTCTAGTTTTCCTCTCTTTTTTTTCATTAAAGAACTCTAATTTTCCTTAACCTTTGACTTCCAAAACCTTGAACCTTCTCTTCACTGATATGTGAGTTGCGTTTAGGATGCATTGTTTGCAAAGGTCAAGAGGTATATTACCTTTGCATACGAAGAAACTGTAAATTGTGTCAAAAGAAGTTTCAGTTATGGTGTTGTAAAATATGATTATGGCGGCATACAAGGATAAGAATGAAAACAGAGTTTTAAGGTTTGATCAGTAGGTGTTGTTGACAGTGTAGAAAATTTTAGGCAAATTTGAAAAATTGAAGGAGCTTCTTGTAATTCCATGGTTGGGATATTGAAAGAGGTAACAAGGATGAAGAGGAAGAGAAGATCCAAGGTTTTGTGTGGATACTCTTCTTAGAGTTTGTACTACATACTTTTGCCCTTGATGTTTTCGAAACTTCAACATCTCCATCGTCATCCTCACCCTCACCCTCACTCTCACTCTCACTCGCACCTCCTCCTTTCCTCTACCTGGGCTTGCACCCGGACATGTTGACATGTTAGAAGTGATTGTCTAAACTCAAAATTTTCAGTTTTATTGGAGTTACCAACGTTGACATGTCTAAGATTTTAATTAGTGATTTTGGGGAGAAGCTTGGAAAGGTGTTAATGAAAAATGCAGACGCCAAAGGTGACTAAAACGCCTATCAGAAGATAATCTTAAAGACTAAAATAAAAATACATAGCACATTGTATATGACGTTTTTGCTATCACATGTTACTACAACATTCTATTACTATTTATTAACGGTGTTTGGTTCTAAAAACTAAAATGTTTGACTGAAGTGAAAATCAAGAACTAATATGACATTTTTAATATTTTAGGGCCTAAATTACTTTATGCTTAATATTTTAAGAACCAAAACAAAAGTTTAGTCCAAAATTAGTATTAACAGATCCAACCGAGCACAAGCATAAGGGTTGTAGAGCACAAGAAAGATTAAGAGACAGAAGAAAGATGCTTATAGCAAGAAAGTGACCGCAAAATTGGATAAGACTATGTCACAAAAACACAGGCCAAGCCGAGAGGGCCTAACTTTGTGCTAAAGTGGTGAAACTAAGCATAGATTTTGGTAGTTGGTGTATTTTCCACACATATAAATCTAGAAAAAGGAGAGAAAATCTTGCATCACTGTCTGTTCATTGATATGCATACGCATTTCATTTGTAGATGTGCCATCCAGTAGTGTCAAAGAAATAGGACAACAGAAGTAGTTGTCTTTCTTGAGATCTATTAAAAGGCACTAAACTTTGAACGATTTTAGTTAGTAATTCTACAATGCATCTTTTACTACTCTTAAGACATTCTTGTAAGATATGTAACTACCTATAACAGCAGACTCAGACTATATTCTGTAGCATCTAACTAACCGACAGTCAACTAAAAAAATTAATAGCATACAAAGGGGAAAAAAATACTTGTGCCATGGTTTTGCGCCGTTTATTTGCAATATTTCTCAGGGAGCTCAACAAAGGATCCAGTCCTGGAAGTATTTGCTTAAATAGCAACGCCCTGTGAAATGAGATTAATAACAAAAGTACTACTAGGAAAAACTAATAGTGCATTAGGCTATAAGTTAATCACTATGTAGCTTTCTAAAGTGTTTTCTTAAAGATCAACACACCTTGGCCCACTCGGAAGTTTGGATGGTGAGTATTTCCCAGTAAGCATTCCGAGTCCTAGAGGACTATAAGCAATCACACGAATACCCAGATTGTCACATAAATTCTTGATCCGTAGTTGTTCTTCCCCCATGCTTAGCAATGAAAATTGTAACTGAAATATTCAAATTATAAAAAAGATTAATAATAGAATACATCTAAACTAAAGCATGGCAATTCCTGATTGGTTGCCACATATAGATAGCATGATGTTCAGGAATTTACAAGCAGAGTTAGCGCATGTTCATTAAACTGATATCTCTTTAAGAAGCTCAATGAAGGATAATAGTAAATTTTAGTCATTAGTTTTGTTATAACTTACAAGTAATTTTCCTCTGCCTTTTCTTTTTTCATTTTTCTTTAAAGTCTTTAAAGGATATTTGAGACTGGTTTTACATTCAGATCATGCCTAATTTAGCAAAATTTGAATGTTAAAATTTTACAATTACGCATAAATTTATACCTGGGCTGAGCGTATGGGGACTCCTCGGACTGCTAGGTAATCATGTATCTTTAAAAGCTGCCTTGGTCCGTAATTACTTACTCCAACAGCTTTAACTAAACCCTAAATGGCAACATCAACATGAGTACAGAAATTTTGATTATTCGAGAAACTGAAACTATTTTTTTTTTCTATAGGAAATAACCATTGAACTTGATGTTTAAATATATCATCTGAAACTGAAAAGTATATATTAAACATGAAAATCCGTGCAAGTAAATAATTATCAAAAGCACCTTGAGTTACTTTATACTATTTACATGGCAATTACAAACTTCAGTTATGATGTTTAAATAGGACACAGTTTTTCAAGTAACCCTTGAGCCAAGTCTTTAAAGAATGTTTCACTCAAGGTCTTATCCATATAAACCAGATATTCTACTCTTAAACATGAATTATTGTAACCTGTTCATACATCTCCAATAAGCCATTCCAAAGAGCTGATTCCTGCCAAGGGGCATAATTTGCAGTTGACCAATGTAGTTGTGCTATCCCAACTTGGTCAATCTGCATCCTATCTAGTGATGCCCTGAAAATTTAATCCACCAAGTTTAAAATCATACGCAAAGAAAATAAATCAAGCAAATTTTTGTTATGGGAGATGGGATGTGAAGCTCAGGAAGTATTTGATAGGAACCAATACCTGCAAGCATTCACAAACTGCCCTGATGTAATGCGCCATGGGTATGCTGCAAACTTTGTAGCAATTACTACATCACACTGCCTCCCCTTTTTTTCTGGGGAAGTATACATGCAATTCTTGAGTCAAAGAATTCATCACAATATGATAATGAATAAAATTTAGATGCAATGCCATAAGTATTTTTGTTTTGTTCTCTAATCAGAATTGGTGTTTCACCTCGGTAATGTACTAAATAGTAGTCGGCGTTAAAGTTCAGCATACATTATCAAAGTAAAACTCCAATTCTGATTAGAGAACAACGCCAAAACCACCTATGGTACTGCAGATGATAATATGTTTTCTTTTCCCATCAAGAAAAATGTATGGAGAAGCCATTAAGGCCTTAACTCTCTCACATGCGAACTTGTTTGTCAACCAAATCACACAAGACACTCATCAAACAAACTTTGAAAGTAACATATTTAACTATTTAAATTACATAAAAGTAAAGAATTGAAGGCCGCCTAAACATGACCCTCAAACAAATTAAGGCAGGCCAAGTTACAATGATTTTACTTAAACCTTCACTGAGATCTTCAACATAATCAATACCAAATTAAATGAAGTTGAGAAAAGATATGTGTGATGAACCTTGATATTCACGAATGAACCTCCCCAGAAGTTTCTCACTCTGCCCATTTAACCTTCCAGTGCCATAAGAATCAGCAGTGTCAAAGAGATTGATACCATTATCCACAGCCAGGTTGAAGATCTGCTGAAGCTCATTATCCATTGATTCTTGGTACCCCCACAGAAACTGATTGCCCCATGCCCACGTTCCAAACCCCATGGGAGATACACTAAGAGGGCCAATCTTCACCTATCACAAACAACCCATGAAGCTAATTAGCTACACACATCACAGATGACATGAAATTAGTTCAAAAGAAAATTGTACCTTTTGAGTTAATCTAAAGGGGAGGAAATTGAAAGGCTTGAATGGGAAAGATGGTGTTGCTAATGCTAAGGGGTTAATGTTTGATGGGCCAATAGTGCATGCTGAGAATGCCATGGCTGAATTGTGAATACAGATAGACACCAGTTTCCAATACAATTTCACTTGGTTAGTTAGTTTGATTTTGAAGCAGGTTTTGTTCACTGTGTTATGTGTTTGTGGTAGCCAGCGAATCTTCGACCTCGTTATGGATCAGTTTAATTGTGTTTGGAAACGACAAAAATAAATAAAAAACATAAAATGTCTGACAGCTGTGGGATTTGAACCCACGCCCTTTCGGACCAGAGCCTAAATCTGGCGCCTTAGACCACTCGGCCAAACTGTCTTGTTGGTATGGATGTAAGTAAATTTATTTATTATACAAAGGTAAAAAAAAAATTAGAATGTAGTTCATATTAAATGTAAATAATTACGTTAAATTAAAATTTTCTAGTAAATTTTGTGAAAAAGAAGTCTTCCAACCTCTACTCTTTTTATAAGATATGTTTATAATATTTGTATTGTCTAACTCAATGTGTTCACTTCATATTTGATATGCATTTATGATGTCGTTAGGGCTTAGGATGACCGTTATTTATAAGGGTAGGATAAACGATGATGTGAGGTGGAGTTCATATCAATAATATCTACGGCTTAATGATATTTTTAAGATTTTGTTTAAAGTATTCAATGTTTAATTACAACAACATTAAGCTTACACATTGAAAGTTATATTTATTTATTTTTGGGTCTAATAGAAAGATATTTTTAAATGCTGTTATTTACAAGGCTTATACGGTAAAGGGCTGAAGATGATGTTTTTGAGTCGAGTCTTTTTTCAAAAGATTATAGTTGTATTTGATTTGCTAAGAATTATACTTGTACATTTGATTTTAAAAATGTTCATGACCGACTATAAAACAAAACGTGAAACATAGAACAGGATTATTAAAATATGTTATTCAATAAATAGAGAATAAACAAGTCAACAAAATATTTCCTCTTTTCAATGATCCTTTTTCTTGAGCCATATCTTCCTTCATAGTCCATACTTTTTTTTCTTCCTTGAAAATAGGTTGTGATGTAAATTCTTCTACTCGTGATGTTCTTCAATGAACATGTGTATTATATAGAACTATAGATCAAAGTGGAACTCCAAGCTCATTTGTATCTCTGGCTTGACTAAGTTTTTCCGCACTGATCAACATTCTTGTGTTGTAGCACAACATATATTGATGAATTTGCTTTAAGCACAGTTGCTCGGTTAATTTATATTCTCGGTTCTTTTTGCTAGAGAATTTGGGGACAAAAATTTATATTCAGGACTTTGAATCCAATCAAAGTATCAATTGAAAATCAGACTTGTATATCTGCAATATCATCCTGTTTAATTAGTAATTGCTACTTCGCAATTTATTATGGAACATATTTCCATATACTGAAATTTGTCCTTTTAAACAAAGTTGATCAGAGGAGGACTGTCAGCTGCATTTATTTAATACAAAGTATAAAATGGAAAAAGGCCTGTAAGAGACAAGCTACGAATTTGAAATTAACATAACTGCTTTGGGAACTATAGCAATATCTTATTCATACCATTCATTCATTTTGCATGTTTCCAAGTCATAAAGATCACACAAGTTAACATGGGTATAGCTAAAGTAATAAAAGAGAGGCCCCTTTAAGAATAGAGAGAGGATTTAGATTTAAACCCAATGAAAACCAGAAATGGAAAAAAGAAAAAGAACATACGCACACATGCAAATGGATTGGAAAGGCATGCCAGAGACATTGCACATTATTTCTTTTTCCAAATCTCTACACAATTGAATCGAGTGAGGCTATCGTAATTCTCTTCCTATCAATTCAAGCCTACAAAACTTCTTCTTGGAGTTTCTTGGCCTATTTGACATCCTGCGTGGGCTGGAATGTTTTGACCTGTTTTGGCATCATAAGAGCCAACCAATCTTTGTTCCTTCTTGGAGGAAACATCACACATGCAACACAAGAGTGTGGTTCACTCTTTCAAGTCCAGAAATCTAGCCATTGAGAACTGCTACATGACTGGTCCAAGATGCCACTTGGGTCCACACTACTGTACCATTTTTCAAGTGATGCCAATGGCATCTCTGCATGATCATCCATTCTTAGAAGTTGGTGTCCCTTGTCCTCAGATTTCTCGGCCCTTATGATTCTATTTTCATTTTTATCATTTGAAAAACATGGCTTTGCTTCTTCAGGCCTCCAACTGCTGTATCCACTTCCTGAACCACCATCTTCTATGCTGTTTTCCTTGGCAACTTTGTCATCCCTTCTACCATCACGAGATATTTCCATCAAATCACTTAGCTTATGCAACTGTTTGAAAAAAAAAAAAAACTCAGTTAAAGCTTAAGGGTCTTGTATGTGATTTGTTAAGTTAAGAAGTACCCTTGTTAGAAGAAGCAGAAAATTTACCTCTTGTTGCAAAGACTCTTTCTCTTCCTTTAGTGACTCAAACCGAGATGCTAAGTTGTCATATTCATCTTTGAGTTTTCTGTATTCTTGCTCTATGCGTTTTGATTTCCACCTTGCTCTTCTGTTTTGGAACCATATGGCAACTTGGCGTGGCTGCAAGCCAAGATCTCTTGCGAGTTGCATCTTCTTCCTTGGCTCAAGCTTTGACTCTGACTCAAATATGCATTCTAGTGATCTAATCTGTTCATCACTGAACCTTCTCTTGTTTTCTATCTTCTTGTTTTTCTTCCTTGGATTTTGGGGGGGCTCTAAGCAGGTGAAGCTTTCAACATTTTTTCCTTTTGATGCTTGAATATTCTCATCACCTTCCATCATATGGCTAGTGAGAAAGGTAAGATCTCAAAGTCTATAGGTGAATTTGGAATTGGATAAGTAATTTTGTTTGGCCCCAACAAAAAAAAAAGTTATGTGATTTAAAAGTCTGGAGAGAGGGAATTGGCTGCACAATATATAGCTAGCCATAAAGAAAGTATCTCAAAGCCATTTCTATCACGTTATTGCAACTTCTAATGGAAGGTTCATGGTGGCCTATGGGATAAGATACCGTGTGGCTCTCACTATCCTTTTCTCAGTAGGAAGAAATTATCTTTGTTCGTTTACTTGTAGGCTATATCTATCGGCTCCTATACTATTTTGTTTGTAGAAGGAACTACTTGTTTGTCAGTTGTCACCCTCATAAGCACACGTCTCTGTTGCTTTTTGTTAAGCAAAAGGTTTAGGGAGGTAGAAAAAAAAAGCCAAATTAATCTCGAAAGATATAGCCCTAGTTATCTTTGATAGATAATAAAGTCACAGTTAATAACAAGTTAAAGGATATATAAGCAACAAGTTAAAGGACTTGTATTTAAATTCTAATAATATTAGTCCTTAAAAATTAGAAAATGGTAATTAAAATTTTAACGTTGTTAACTCTGGCATAGCATTAGTAACTTATTGATATACTGTCACCTAATAGTTGTATGATAATATCTTGAACTCGACTCAATGCAACCACAGCAGCTTGATCCTATAAATACTTGTGACGTTGTTTGGTTTGGATAAGAAAGATAATTTGTTTTTTTTTTTAAATGATCAAGCAATAGTCTAAAACAACTATGGACATTCATATATTTAAAAGCTTTGGTTATAATGTTGTAAACCACAAGAAAAAAAAAAGTGATAAGAAAATAAAAAATGTCCACATGTGTATATCAACATATCATTATATTGATATTTTTGAAGTTAAACTATTTGCTTGGGAGTTAATTGAAGAAAAAGGTCAAAAAAAAAAAAAAAGAAACTCGTAAGGCTCATCACCATGATCATTCAGCTAAGCTAATAGCTAGTCAGTGGCTGCCAAAAACCGACGATGGCAGGATGTTATATTGTTTGATTGTAAGTTCCAGCTAAATTGGAGGTTATTTTGTTATGGAAGGGCTAATGTTTCTGTCAATAGTGGACCTATTTCTCTTTTGTTGTTTGGATCTGTTGACGAGAAATTCTTATCCTATGTCATTATTCTTTAGGTTGCTGTCTGAATTAGGTGGCTAAATGAAGATCTTAGAACTCATACAGACCATGACCATAGTTTGTTTGATTGACACAGTTGATAACAAAGGTAATTAGAAAAAAAGTGGCAATTTCTATTTTCTACACAGTTGATGGTTGAGTCAAATACAAATCTATACAAGTTCATGAAGGGCAATGAAGGAATTGTGTTTTGTAGTTTGTGGGTTGTAAAGTAGAAAAGAGATATATAGAAAAATGCCCTCAATTCCTGATTGTAAACGTGTATATTGAGTCCATACCATTTTGCTAAATCGTGTACGTACAAAATAGAATATCCATGAAGTTAAGAACTTAGTTAGACAAAAGATATATTTGCTTGCCAAAGTGTCCTCAATTAAGAATACTAAATTAGAATGGATGGTTGTTGCAATATTAGCAAATTTTTAATGTATACAAAGCTGGATGCAGTTAGCTACGCTACTACTATAAGCAATTTAGAAGCAGGGAACAAGCTACACTGTAGTGAAGTTTGTAATTTGTGTCAGTCACTCGGTTAGATAAGAAGATAAGATTAGATGGGAATCATTTAATAATGAAGAGCTTCCATCACACACAAGATAAGGGTCAATAGATGTCGCCTAATACAGACAAAATATTGTCAGATTGTGGAGTTAAATCATAGAAAGTGAGTTTTTACATTTATTGCCAATCATACTAGTTGGCCTTAGGCAAACCACTTAATTCTTGGTTTTGTTTTGTAGCAAAGCTATGGCTACAAGTCTTTATCAGATTAAGCTTTAGCATGTTTTAGGGTAGCTTTATCAAGCTTCTTCCATGGTTAATGGCATTTGCAGATTGGCTTTTCTATGTTGGTGTGGTCTTGGTTGGTGTTTGGTGAAGTGTCTCATGCATACAAGCAAGCAAAACAAAAACGCTTAGGTCAGGAAGTTGAGATGCCCCAACATTAGAGGTCATAATTGCATGCCACGTGAGGGAGTGAATTACTTTTGGAACATTTTGAGAAGCAATTCCAGCTCAGGAAAGCTTTCACATTCTATACATTTTCCAAAGTCCCAGAATGCCAAACCAATTATGTTGGGGAAGGTACATGAGAGTTTCGAAACAGGGTCATTTATTTATTTTTAAAACCATAATTTAAAGTCGCAAACTATGGTACTAGGTAATTAATGTAACCAAAGTCCAACACAAACAAATGGCAAAGGTGGAAAAATGAATCTTGTCCAAGTCCTGGGGACTGGGCAGCTCTATGCCCTTGAATATATTGTTTATACATACGCGTCTAGTTTAAGATATTGGTTAAAGAATAGAAAAATAATAAATTATAAGTTTTTTAACATTTATTTTTGTTTTTAATTCTTTAACCAAGGTGCTAGTAACATTTTCCTATGTACATTTTTCTTTCTCTCATATTTTGTGCTAGAAACTGCGTGGGGAGAGAAGCATTCCCCCCATCTATGCCAACTTTATTTCCTAGTGAAAATGACACAAATTTTGTCTTCAAACGGCCATGATTAGCCTTGCTTTCCGTTTGGGTAAGTATGAATTATCCCACAAGTTGGTCTTCTTGTAAACGTCAAGCTATTAAGATCTTTACGGCCATGGGGTCCTTATGCTTTTGAGGAGGGGATAGGTGTCGGAGAGCCAATTGTGCCAAATGGGTGGCCCTCGAACCAATTGGTAAGCAAAGTTAGGTATTAGGTGCCTCAAAGTCCAAAATGAAGTGATTGGTCTTCCAATCATTATTAGGTTAAGATAGATTCGTCTAATGATTGTGAAAAGAATCAAGGTTAACGGAGAAAATTAGCATGGGAATCATATGTTATACGTCAGCAACCCAACTTGAAATTCTCATGTTTCTTACCGTCATTATCCATTACTACTACTAGTTGGTTCCTTTTTAAACTTGCTAGTACGATAGGTAAATCTTACCTTACAAACTTATTTTAGATTAATTGGGTTTATCAACGTTGGGCACGATAATAAACAAATCATCTTCTTTAAGCGGGGACCAAAATTTTATCCCTAAATACGGTCATTGTTAGGAGATTCTAAGTAACTTGTTACGATTGTGCTTGAAAAACTAGATTCACATCAATGTCTCTCAAACTATTGGAGTCTGTTTATTGTTGATGAGATTATCAGCGAAGTACATTATCAGAAGTTCAGAACCATTTGCTTAAACAACTTTCATTCTGGCATCATACTAGAATTAGTGATATAACTTGACAGCATTGTCGTTGATTTAAAACTATGCTGTCAACTTTTTTGTATTAAACAGTTATTTCCATAATTTAAATATTTACCTTTTTGTTTTGGGGTCGAGAATTTAAATTTGTATAAGATTTATTGAAATCCCCGCTTACTCCATTCATTTGAATTACATTATATTATTTCTAAAGTATTGTTATGTTAAAGTATTTTGATATTGTGAAATTCAGAATTTGCTTATTTTGAAAAAACATTGTTTTATTTTTAATTACAAAAATGTCGTATTATTTTTAGTTTATTGCTTTTCATGTTTTCCGATATAAAGTTTTGAAAACAAGAAAGAAAGTGAAAATATTATAAATTTCATAAATAAAACAAAAATAAAAAATAAGTACTCAAATCAAATGGCTGTTAAATTTTAGTTAGTTGGTTTTTTCCTTCTGATGTTTTGGTTATTTGCTTAGTCATATTCATGTACTGGAAATATATGATCAAAGTGAAAGTTTTTAATTTTAAGAGGATATCAGGAAAAGGCTTTTCTTCTTTGATGTATAAGCGGGAATATGGGTGGGTTCTGCAGAAGAAACCCACACAAAAAATTGGGCTTTCTGATGACTGCAATACCAACATAGGCTCAATGATTTGATGGTTCTTTAAGACTTGCTGGGCAATGGACCAAAACAATTCTTACCGGGCTCATAGCATCTCATATATAAATCTGGGTTAGATTCAAACAAGTAATCTGGGCTTGTCTTTTAAGGGACAAGCTCGTAATTCCAACTTTGAAAGGGTGAAAATTTGACCCCGAAAAAAGAGGTCATTTGGAAGAGCCCACTGTTTGCATTGCATATGCGCATGCATATAGTATTCCCGACAAGAAATGCGGGTGTGAATGGGGAGAATAGATAAAGGGCATGGATGAATTGCTAGTAAACGTGTGATCGACCCATTTACAAGGCTCAGCCGTTGAACGACAAATCAGACATCAATGTGTTGATTACTTTTTGCCAAATTAACTCTATCATGTACGACCTTCTAAATGAACAGTTTAATCTTGTTTGGCACTATTAATTTGGATCTGCTGGAGTTCAAAGTTTCCCATCATTAGTCCTGAATCCAAGCAAAGCCTCTAAAATCCGGGCACGAAAGAAATCAAGGGCAATATTGCAACCTTTTATAAATTCAGTTTTATTGGAGAATTTGAAGAAACAAATTAGTATGTAGAATTTTCTTTTTGGAGGAAAAGAATAAGTATTACATTACACTTATATTATGTAAAACGTTTTATGTGACTTAATAAATTTATTATGTATAAAAATTATATTGACTAGTATGTATAGTATCACTTCAAAAGTACGTAGGACAACTTGTGTAGGTCATTTGGATGATTGATAAAGCTATCTGTATGTTAAGTTATCCACTGATTTGCACAGTCTTTATTTGTTTATTAGCATTAAAGTTGCGAGAGTTATGTTAATTGTTTTATTAGTATTATCTTAAAGCATAATTAACTCAAAAATACACTAACTGTAATTTTAATTAAGAGCAGTGTTCTATTTAGTACACTTACTATTTCCAGAAGTTAAGAGTATATTTTTAACACTTTTTTATTGTAAAATAAGTAAAGTTGTCAACTTGTGTGAAGCAATATTTTGAGCTTGAGAATTAATCGAACAGTATCGTAGTGGGACCTCCTAATGTATAACTAATTAAGAAAGTATTTTAATGAAAAACACTAGGACTGTAATAATTTCTATAGTACGTATAAAAAGAATTTCTATCAATTGAATTAAAAAAAAGTGCCAAAACATCATATATTTGTTTTTATCATTCAAGGGCATGCACACTGCATGCATTCATATTATATAACTGTCTAAAAAACTAA